CTGATCCTGCGCCAACTCTTCGTCAACTTCAAACAATAGGATCAGCTCAAGTTGCTCACCATGCAACAAGAAATCATCGCAGAATTCATGTCGCATAACGGAGAGAAAGACGACGAACTTTAAAAAGTCCAATTATTTTTATATTTTGTTGTGTTGTTAAATAAATACATGTTCAGTGTATCTATCAATGATTATCTATGAGAATACGTTCTCATTTCTTGATAAAATATTTAAATTAGCTGAAAGTGAATTTATTCTCTTTTTCGTTGAGAAGAGTTTTGCAAACATAAACTGTTTGCTTGCTTGCTTGTCTGTCCGCAGGGTCAAAAAAACATCGAAAATCGATTTTCCGGAAAAGATATTTCCAGAGGTATTTCGCTGCGGGGACTTCGAATCTGATACTAGTTTTTTAAAATTCTTTCAAAAAAAGCATTTTTTTACGAGAAAACTTTTTTTTCATAAAAGCTGACAAAACGGTTTTTGAGATCGGGGAACAAGATTTTCACGTTAGTTTTTGATATTTTCTTATGCACCACATATTTTTACACAAAGGGCCATTTTTACGAAAATAATTTTTTTGTTTTAAAAAGTTGGCCAGAGGGTTTTGGGTGTCATGGATCTCGAATATAGTGTTAGTTTTTTGAAATTGTATAAGTAAAATGCTCAGTAGCATTCTAGAACACGATTTATACGAGAAAGAGCTGAGCGAGTCCCTAGACGAGCGTTACTTGTTTAGTCTACCTATACAATCATTGTTTTTGATGTTGTGCGAGTATAGTTGAGTGAATTTACATCTTGAGGATGGATGGGTGTGGATATAGATATAAGTCTGGATATGAGAAGAGTACAACACCCACATCCACACCCACCCACACTCACATACTTAATTAGGGTTCACTTGAAACATGGTGCACCTTCATTTAAATGGTTCTATAGATTTCTACAACGTCATCCTTTATCTTTAGAAAAAGCGAAACGAAAATAAAAAGTTCCTTTAGAAGATGCGTGCAAACTTGTACCATCATTTTATTCTTACATACGTCGAGCAAGTAAATGGGATTCTAAGCGAGGACTGATGAATGCATTTACATCTTCTGATATATATAATATGGATGAAAGTCCAGTTGCATTATTTGGTGATCACTCAAAACGAAGTATTAATGACATTGGTACACCAAACGATATCGAAGTCAATCTTGCAGATAAGTGATTTGAAAATTTATAAAACTTAAATGAATTGATTGTTGTATGTGTTTTAGGTAAAAGATACTCATTCGAAGCTATTAGTAGTTGATAGTGCTGGTTTACATCTTAATTCTGATATAATCGATGATTTACGAGCGAAATAGGTAGTGGTGGCGGTTGTACCATGTGTGCAGAAGTGCTCGATGTTTCTTTTTTTTCCAGTTTTTAAACATCATTATGAGAATTCCTGAAACAGTATTTCGTGGATTTTCGGCGAAAACCTTCAGAAAACTCACCATTTTTGGTAGGAGCCTTGCCGAAAAATGGCTAGAATTCGGCCCTGGTATCGGTGCAGGAGTGTTTGACCTGGAATGATCCTGCAGCTCAAGTTCCATATACTGATACTTATGTTTCTACAGTTCAATCAAGTCCAGTAAGTCATTCATTTTTTTAAAATGTAATTTTTTAATAAAATTAGCATTTATCTCTTACTTGTAGTGGAGGTGATACTTTAACAATGGTATCAAATATCACAACGGATTCAATTAAGAATGAAAAATCAGTAAGATATTGTCACATTATTGTTCCACCACAGATAAATTTATTTTATTTCATTTCAATTCACTGTCTAATAAAAATAACAAACAGTAATATATTCTGTTCATTTTGTAATAGACAAATTAGTAAAAAGTGCGTTACTGCCGAATTAATTGGAAAAGATGATCATAAAGAAGTAAGTATCCTATTTGTAGAACATTTATATACATAGAATGTCGGTGAGCGTTGAGATAAAGTAGTTCTGCGATTTTAAAATAAAATTTTGCTTTGCACCATATTTTCAACCTAGTCTGCGCAGTTACAGAAAGAAATGTTGAAATTATGTGATATAAGATGGAAACAATTAGCTCAAAACGAAATTCAGTAATTAGCAAATTAGAACAAATTGGGCATAGTGTAGGGTAAGTTCGAACTTTTATAGCAATCATCGATAACCATTTATTTATATATAGATTGGTACCATTGGGTGAAAATCTTAGTAACTATGATGGTGCCCACGATGATGATTCCTGATGCAGTTTGAATCTGTGACTGGATCCATTCACCAAAACTGTCTGGAACTAACCGTTTCCGGGCCGGATTGTTCATGCTGGATTGAATTTTGTCTACAAAAAAAAATACCGGTATACAAAATCCAAACAAGAAAATGTAAGAAATTCTATATTATTAATCAACTGAATATAACATCAGTTGAGAATAAAAAAAACATTGTTTTATTTAACATACTAACGAAAATTATGTTTTTAGCGGATAAAAATAAATGGGAACAAAAATGGTGCCAAAAATTTTTCGGTAAATATGTGATCCCATTTTTCAGTGAGTAACTAAAATAGAAAAAAATCATATTCTTGATTTCTTGACGTTTTCTCTTTCCAACAGTAATTCATTCATTTTGTATCGAGAATAACGTTATAGTTTCTATAAGATTTTTTTTCGTAAGCAAGAATTGAGGAACAAACAACTGTATGAATTCAGAAATTAAAAGAGAATAATAATTATAGAAAAAGTTGATAAAATGGGTGATTTGTCCATGACATTATTTTCTAACAATATATAGAATATATTGCATTGAATAGTTTCGAATATTCATTTCAATAGATTCACATTCGAAATCAATCCTGATGCTAATTGTATTACAATCGAATGTAATTATTTCTCTTCATGCACTAGTTTAAAAAACCGTTTTGCTATCGATGAATACGATTCATTTATAATGAATGCTAAAAGATTGCTCTCGTAGGATATTATCTATTTTACTACATATTATTCTTGACAAAAGGAAACAATGGACAAAATCTAAAATTAGTATATTATTTTATTCTTTCCATTTGTTATATTTTAGGAATAGGAAAAACAAATGTTTCTGAGACAAAAAAAAGATAATCAATTGGTTGACTTCTTATTGTTAGAATTCTAACGAAACGTCTAACTGAGCAAAATTCATCGGATATTAGATATGACTTGCTTGTCTTTGTATTTATGTTATTTGTTGTTTTTTGCTTAATCTCTGTCGCTTGTTTCTTCTTTTCTCGCTGTTTTCTCTAGCTTGCATAGTGTATAGCTTTTCCCCTCTTGTGGCTATTGTTAAATAACAATGTATTTTATTAATTGTACATAAATACAGTTATGATTTGATCATTGGATATTTTTCCGAAAAAAATCCTTGCTCATACTTATGGATAAAATAAACAAATAATTTTCTCGTTCCAATTCAATTAATTAATATTTTGTTAGTAATATTTTACAAGAAAAAATAATAGTTCTTACACATGATTCACTTTTTGGAATAAACTGATCACATATAGAGAAAAAATGTCAGTGAGAAGTAAAACAGAAGCGAACATTGCATTCGATAAAAGAAAATAGAACAATTATTAAGATCTCGACGGTATCTGATCTACTTGGAGACACAAATAGGTTTTTAATCGGTACAATATTTATCGAATAGGTCCTAATAAACGTTGAAAAATTATAAAATTTGCTTTTTTTTGCTATACTTCACAGTTGGAGTATTAAAATGTTACTCTAATCGAAATAAAATTATTTGTTTTATTATTTTCTATAGTTCAAATGTGTGAGTTTTGCATCAACGTTCATGCTGGAGTTGTAGCATCAGCTATCTTTATTGAAGACTAGAACTTATTCAAAGAACGCATTGGGTTTTGTTCAATTCTGATCATTACTTTAAAATTTTTATTGGATCGTTTGGTTCGTAAATTTATTAACAATCAATGTATACAAGTTCTGAATGATTCAAGACCAGCTCCTTGTGTGCCAAACGGTGCTCGGCCTATATAACTTTTACTATTTTATTTTAATCATTTTTTTGTTTCTTTTCTCTTATTTTTTTCTATAAAGTTGCTCCATTGAAAAAGTCATTTCATAACATCCAATGTTCATCTTGATCACCATGAGAATTTTCCTTATCATAACATATTTAGTTTAAAATATTTCATAAATCTTTTCCAAGGTTAGATTTAACTGAATTATCAGCAATTCATTTTTCATGATAAGTTTTATTTTAACTCCATTCATTCGACAATCTATTATCAATATACTAGTACCAAAATAATATTAAAATTTCATCTGTAAAAATTATTTTTTAATAATGTTAAATGATATTAAATGTCAATTGTTGTATCGACGAGTTCTTTCTAAATAAAAACATAAGTCATTATTTTAAACAACTTATTAATTGCTTTTGTTACACCGTTGGAATTAATTTAAAATAAAGAAAATTGATCATTTATTTAAAATTATATTTATATTTCCATGCATTTTAATCTACTTTGAGAGAACGTATTTTTCTCAAATGTAGATTATTTCAATTACCTTAATAAAAAAATTATCTTTACTTTTTCATATAGTATTCAAAATAGGTAAGAGTAGCTATTGTCATATCATCGCATCTAACGATTTTTGACTATGAGATCTTATCGAATGAGTTCGACCTCGATGTTTATTATAGATGGAATAGAAGGAGAAAAGATATGTATAAATATACAAGACGTGCTATTTATGAATAAGTAAACTTTTTTGGTTGAGTTCGAAAGTGATACTTAATACAGGTTCTTTGTGATCTTGCTTGTATGAATATAAATCTTGGACATTTTTCTATCAACGATAAAAAAAATTTGCATGCTTACTCAAATCGTAATAGAGATATTAAAAATTTTCAGCGCTAAAATGATTTTTGACTCATCCTGAATAATAATGAGTAATAGAGAAATTTGATGAAATATAAAATATTTTTAATAATGGTTTTTGATTTAAAAAAGCAATTTTAATTGTCAATAGATAATTTAATATGAATCAGATAAGAAATGTTTTTAAAGTCATAATTTATATTAATAAAAATTGATATTCTAGTATAAAATCAAGATATTATTTATTTAGATAAAAAAAATCTCGATATATAGAAATATGATTTAAAAAAACACAAAAATTTCTTTTTAAAATTGAAATCTTGAAAGAATCTAAAATTGAATTAAATTAAATTTAAACAGAATCCATAAAAAATCCAAATTCTTGTTGATCAATTTTTCCGTCTCTATTTGTATCAGCATAAATAAACATCGCACCAGCAGCATCATATTGAAAAATTTTCTTTGCAATATCAGGTGCACCAATTCCAACATCAGGTCCAAGACCATATGTATGATCTTTACCATTAGATATACCGAATGCATATTTTTCATATGAATATGGATCTTTTACAAAACCAGCAACAGCAACATCATAACCAATTTCATACGTTATTGTTTGAGTTACATGAGCTGCCTAGAGTTTAAATTTGATTTTATTTAACAAAAAAAAACTAAAACTTACAGAAAAAGCTTCTAGATCATATTGATATTGATTTGATATTGATTTATTTTTATCTTGACTTGTTGGTCCAAGGAATAAACGAAATTCTTTTTCATCAATAATTCCATCATGATTGACATCAGCACGACTAAATTGTTTACTATAATCAATAATATGTGAAGGCATTTGGATATTTTTTAGAATAATTTTATAGAAATTTATTTCACTATTTATATGATGAAGATTTAACCGATTTTTATATAAAATAATCGAGAAAAATATTTTCTTATTTTTATGTTGTATTTTTCGTTAAAGAAACGGAAATTATTTCATCAGTCATCGATTAGTTACAAATAGAAAAATTATCATGGACATTATCAAAATCATGTTTTCATTTGCTTATTTTTATTAGATTCATTCAGACAAATTATCGATTTTTCTTACCGTTTTTTTTTTCATTAATTATGAGAAAAATTTCGCCTAATTAACAGATTTTAATTAACTGCTTTTCATAGTAATAAGAAGAACATTTTTATTTCTTTGATTTACAACAATAAAAAATCAACGAAAAGTCTCCGTACTCAATAATCAAATTTTCTATTCATATAGATTAAGAAAAAAACAAGCTGAAAGAATAAAACCTATTGTAATTAATTGAGCATTATTCAAAGTATTTCTAAGTCTAGTCTTGAATTCGAATATATATATTTAAACTATGAATAATATTTTTTGCCCAGTCATCGATTTTGAAAACAATTAGGAAATAAATATAGATTACTACAAATTTTTCATCGATTCAAACTTAATAAAGGTGAGAAAATATCAATTGATTAAAAATTAATAAGGAAAAAATCATCGTAAAAGAATGTATATTATCAGCATACAATCACAAATTGTCAATCAAAGTCGAAAGCGTTATTAATAAACAAATCACAAACATATATTCAACCTTTAAATATTATTCTATTCAATATCATTATCATTACTTTTTTTTTATTCAAATTCACTGTATTCAATCTTCATTAGCTTCTACAGAAGAAAATATTGTTTATAGTTTCAAAATCTATCTATCTTTTGTGTAAATAACGACTGGAATAGAGTAAAAGAGAGAGAAAATAATATCTAATTGTCAAAATACGAAATTCTTTTTTTCCTGTAGATTAAATAACAGATTGTTTTCATCTAGATTCTTTTCTAATTAATATATTTTTAGAAAACTTTCTTTTAGAATTAAATGAATAAATTTCATTTTGAATTTATTCTCTTCATCTATTAAATTTTCTATCATTTTAATTGTAGATTTCAATTTATTTAGTGAAGAAAAACAAAATTATTGAAGAAAGATTTTTATTTCTGATTCTCTTCAAAAAAAATCGTATTAAATAATTAATTAAAATTTAATATTATTTTTCGTATGATTCAATATTAAATATAAAATAAGTTTATAAATACAATTAATTATTGATGATTCGTCTATCCTTCAACTGAATATAATTTAGGAAAATATTTTCTTCTCCAGAGAATATTGCATTCCTTTTCTAAATAAACTTAACATGATGAAATATTGTCTGAAAAACTGAATTTATCTTTCATCAACAAAGTTTAATGTCGTGATTATTTTTATTTCGAACTTATCTTTTCAAAAAGCAAATTGATCATTTAACAATTTTTTTCATTGATGATAAAATAGATAATTATTTACAAATAATTTCATTCATAAATTCCTATCAATAGAATTTAAATTGATTTTTTTCTCAGACTTATATGTATATTAGAATGAAATTGATCGAGATATTTTAGACAGATATTTTATTTGAGTTTATTTTTAATCTTAATGTCTAATGAAGAAAATCGTCTTAGATTTGTATATTATATGTATGATTTTTGTTCTAGAAATAATTGTAGAGATAGATAATTTATGGAAAAGAAGAAAAGAACGGGTTGTTCTATATGTAGATAAACGATAAATATATCTCGAGATATGTATGTTCTTTTTCTTGGTAAGAAAAAAGAAAGAAAGAAAGAAAGAAAGACGAAGACTTGTACATTGACCTCTATTCTCTCCCTCTCTCTCTCTCTCTGTCGTGTGTAGTAGAACTATTCTGTTTGTTCGTCATATGATGTAAATCAATGATATATTCTAATAATTCATACCAATAAGAATTCTTCTAATTTATTCTTTTTTAGATAAAAAAATGAAACAAAATATTGTTTTATTAATTTTGTTAATAATAACAATAAATTTATTTACAAATGTTTTCTCGTATGCTCAAGAAAAATTACAAGTAATGACAACAAAAAAAGTTGATAATTGTTTGAGACGAGCAAAAAAAGGCGATACATTATATATGCAATATACAGTTAAGTTAAATTAAAATATTTTCTTTAATAAATCAATTTCTTTTTCTTTCAAGGGTGTTTTAAAATCAAATGGAGAAAAATTTGATTCATCATATGATCGTGGTCATCCATTTGTTTTTAAAATAGGTTATGGACAAGCTATTCAAGGATGGGATCAAGGTTTACTTGAGTATAAACTTTCAATTTTATCATATTTCATTTAATTTAATCATATTTTCTTTTCTTGTTAGTATATGTGAAGGTGAAGAAAGAAAATTAATAATTCCTCCATCATATGCATATGGAGATGTTGGAGCTGGTGATGCAATTCCACCAAAAGCAACACTTCTTATGGATGTTAGTTGTGACAAAATTGAAAGAGATGAATAAATTTCTATTAATAATTATTACTAAATTTATTTCAAATATCAATAACAACAACATAGTCTTTTTTCTTTTTTCTTGTTTGTTAAATATGATTTTTAATTTTTATTATTTCAATAAGTTTTAATAAAATCTAAGAATTAGTTTTATTTCATTGGAATGAATTTCTAGAGAAATCTTTGAAATAAAATTATCTCTAAATAAAAGAAATAAGTTTCTCCATTTATTTTCTATTAATTAGAAGATTTATTTACGAGAACAATTGATAAATATTCATATTTCGATAAATTATTTTTTATTGGTAGCAGTTGGTCTTGTTGGTCTACTATCTTCTACGGCTTTTGATAATTCACTAATTCGAATATCTTTAAGTTGAAGAACATGTTCAAGTCGACGAATTTTCGCATGAAGAACTTCAATTTCTTCTTGTTGTTGAAAAGATTGTTGTTTAATTTCTTCATATTCAAGACGTGAAACTTCTTTATGAGATATTTCATTTGTTTTATTTGATCGAATTGATTTATTTGATCGATTTGATAATAATGGAACTTGATTTGTTTTTGATATTGTTCCCATATGTGAAACAGATGATTGACGTGGAGTTATCATATGATGTTGAGAATTTGGTTGTTGTTGAATTTTTTGTTGTAATTCTAATTCTTCATCGATTTTTAATCTTAAATTATAAAGAAGAACTTCAATAAGTCCTGGTTGACCATTAGCAAGACCTGCTATTTTAACATCAGGTAAATCAAGACCAAAATGGGATAAAACTTTTCGATTTAACATTCCCCAATTCGCTTTTTTTGGTTGAAACGAATTCGCTGGGGTATAATTATGCATTTCAACTAAATCAGGTAAATAATAACGAATTATTTCAGCAACTAATGTACCTTTAATAAATATTTAAAGAAAATAAATTTAAATAAAATAAAATAAAGATTCTTCAATATTACCATCAGAGAAATCTCTTTCAATTCGTTTTTTTGGTCTTGATAAAGGTAAACTATCAATCCATAAATATAAATCTTCTAAAATATTTTCTTCTAATTCCATTTCCCATGACATTTTTATTGTTCAATTAAAACTATTGAATTATTGTTCACACTCTGACAACAACTAACACCTCTCTTTTTCTTCTTCTTTTTCTTCTTTAAAGAACAAATTTAACTTTTCTTTTTCTTTTTTTTTTTTGACCAATCAGTATAAATATGATTTATATGAAACTTAACGACAAGAAGTATAAAACAATCAACAATGGCAACCGATCGATCACATTCATTTTGACAACGACAACAAAATCATTTAAGAAAAAAAAACTTGATGAAAATTCATTGAATTAATAAACACATGTATTTTATTTCTATTAGATATCAAATTATCGATTTGTTTCTTCATCATAATATTATTATAGAAATTTTCTTCTTTTCATTTTCAATATTTCAATAAAAAATAATCTTGATTTTTCATAATAGAAATTATTTCTTAAAAAGTAAATAACTCAATAAAAATACTTTTTACGAAATCTTATCTTTTATTTATCGAATATTCTTATAAATTTTTAATAATTCACGTTTTTGTTTCCTATATTATCAATAAAATATCTGAATCGATAAAACTAAATAATATCACATTGATTTTCTAGTTCTAACAACATGTTTTTATCTAATCATACAACAGAAACTCAAAATCATATTTGAACATTCTATTATTTATGCTTAACAGAATAATTTCTATTAAAAATTTAGATAAAAATGTCTAATAAATAAATTGTTTGTTACTTGAAATCAAATTATCTATCAATAAACTTTAATGAAAAATGTAAAATTGATTATGTTGATAAATATCCGAAAATAAAATAATATTATTTCTTTATCTTATTATTAATTATAGAAAATCATATTGATTTATTCTTTCTCAATAAATTCGAATTCTTAAATTCTATCAAATGATTATTTCATAACAAGAGACTAAATTTTTAATATAAAATATTTTATTTATTAAATCATATCGAAATATATGAATAAGATTAAAAGTAGATGGAGATGTTTCTCTTTCTTTAATTTACATTTACGTCCTCACCCTTTTACTTTTTCGGCAAGAAGAATGCCAAAAGATAAATACAACCGATCATAGAAGAAACGAGAAGACCAGCAAAAGAAAAAATAAAAATGGAAGCAACAATTACATTGAGAACAGTATAATCATCATCAGACATTTTATGCATAAGAAAAAGACTAACAAGACAAACAACAAGAAGAATCAAAATAAAACTAATACTACCACCAATAACAAAAGTAGGTCTATTATGAAGTCTATTAGATATTGTCATTGTAGAAGATGAGAAATCATCATTGTGTAACATGATTTCCAGTGTATCTAAAGAAAAATGTTGAAACATCATTAATTTATGCTTTCTCTCATTCGATATTTGAAATAGTCTCATACACATCATGTGCATGTATACACTTACTTGACATCGGTCTCGATTGTTCTTCGAGCAATTCATTCTCATTTTGAACCATCGTAATTGAAGTTGTTTGATTAATTTCTTATCGAAGTTGATAATCGGAATGATTTGAAAGTAAATGTGTTAATATTATTGTTTTCAGTCTAGATTTTGAGAAAAGTTTTTTTTTTATTTTTTTCTAAAATCTTTTTAGTACAAGAAAATAAAAACTTTTCTATTGTTAGCTTTTAACAGACGATAATCTTCTCTGGTTCAAAAATACTTCTACTATTCGAAAATAAGAAGAAGAAGGAAGAACATATTAGAATGTATTAAGAAGTATCTTTTATTAATATTGATACAAATCAACAGTCACATATCTAGATTATCTCAATAAATAAAAAACAGTATCTACTCAATATAAATTTGCTTTTGGGAAAAATTCAATTTTTAAAATGCTATTAGAGATTGTTACGATTAAAAAAAAGTAATGCATGTCAAAATAAAAATAAGATAAAATAAGAAAGAAACATGAGTGCTCAACAGCATGTCCAAGGATAGCAATTCATCAAATTCTAATGTCTCTATAGGCACTACTTTTCACATACATCAAAATTAATAAAAAAAAATGTCTTGAAGTGGTACATCATTATTTTCTAATTGTGCAGATATATGACTATTAGAATATATAAAGGTAAGATTGGATATCATGAAAACATAATTAATAAAACTCACATTTTATCTTTTTCGTTCTTCTCTCTTCTTCTAATCGTGCTCGAACTATATAGATAGATATTTCGACTAATTGTTTTGTTCTTATTATGACAATGACATGTATAGGAAAGAAAATGAAAAATATTTTCTTATATTATCTCTATCGACAATTTAATCGTTACTCATAACATACATTCATTAATATTCCTTTTCAAACCATATCTAGGAAACTTAATTCTTCATCAGTTAACTTTTCTTGTTTTCGCAGTACGAAATGACTCTATACTAACCTATGCATATAACTCAGTATGTTTCACTATCAGACCTCAAAAAGACATCGTTGAACATTTTTCTGTATTATTTTTATAAAACTTTGCGTGTCTCATAAATAATAGAAATTCTAAGAAAAGTTTTATCGTAGAAAAACTATGTAGTCTTCATTGAAAATATTTTAATGTTTCTTACTCATACTTAGTATTATGTATGATGCGGGTGTGCGTGTTAGTGTAGATTAAGATAAGAGACACCAACATTCCCATTCATTCCTTTTTTCAAAGATAAATCTATATTTCGAGTTTCTCTTAACCATGCTCAAACTTCCAAGACACTCTTAAAATCTACTTTATGTAGCCAAACAAATTATTTTGATTTGTTGAATCATTCTGATCTTGGAATCGATTAAATATATGATAATCATTATATAAATATTCGTTTTGATATTTTCTTATAAAAAGAAATTCAATAATATCAAATCTAATGTTATCAAGAATGAATATTCGCTTATAGTACGTTCCCGAAAAATTACGTTTCGAATGTCTTGTATAGCAATCTTGGATTGAACGTAACAGATAGGATCGCATTATTTTAAGAAAATAAAGATATTTCAATTACAAAACACAAATTTGTTATTATAATGTGTTTGTTTTTATGAAAGTTAGTCTTTTTATTTTCAAATTGATATTTTTTGTCTATTTTACTAAAAACAAAATAAAAAATGTGCCAGAATAAAAATCGATAATTATGACAGTAAAATATTTTAAGTTTTTTTATTCTGATTGTGATTGTTATCCTTTTTTGAAGATTGATTCGATGGTTGTTCTGGTGTTGGAACTGGTGGCATAGCAAGACTAATTTTAACCGAATCGTAGATAAACCATTGAAGAGCAGTAAGTGTACCAATCATCAAAATACGTGCTCCAAGGCCTTGCCACATACCTGAAAAGTATAAATGCAACTCATATATATATATATATATGAATAGTTTTATAGAATACGACACGAACCTGCAAAGCCGACACGTTGTATAGCTTGAGTTAAAGTCAACTCCTTTTTCTCATTGAGCTTCGATACTATAACATCGGCTGGATGGCTTACCACAGCACAGATAATACCCGCTAAAATAACAATCGAAATTTATATTAATAAATAAATAAATAATCTAACATACCAGTATAACCAGCAACAAATGAGACACCAAGTTGTTCTAATTTTGAGCATTGTTCACGTGATTTAGGTACGACATATTTATAGAGTGCTTCGACAGTTCTCTCAAAGCAAGCAAATTTCATCATTGTATAAGGAATTTGTCGAAACCAAAGAGGTACAATACCTTTATAAAAGCTGATAGGACAAAATAAAAAATTAAAACACATCGAACATTTATTTTTACCCAGTAAAACCTTCTTCAGCTATAAATTAGAAACAGGAGAAATTAATGAAATAAAATGAAAAAAAATATCGAATTCATACCATAAAGTTTGGGCATTCCTTCACGTAAATTTCTAGCCCAATTATCTTGTGTCTGAATACGAATTTTCGTAGCTTCAAATGGGGCTAAAGCTATATCAGCTATAAATTCAGCTGACGCACCAGCGCCCAAATAAATTGCTGTACGATATAAATAAGTTTTTTCCTAACTTAATTTATTAGAAATTCTATTAAAAAATGAATAATAAACTTACTTCTCCTAACATTTTACTATAGAAGTCTTTGAAAAATTCGTAAAAACCAAATTTGCCAAAACCTTGAAGCGAATATCCAATAAGTGTTGGTGACCATCCTTTGACTAATCCACGTGCTCCTTCTTCTCTGTACATAATCAGAATGAAAAATAAATAGTTAAGAGAACTTTGATAACTTACGCCATAGTAATTTTAAAACCAGTTACGAGATTTTTGTATTTCTGTTTATTTACTTGAACACGACATTTAATAACATCCTATATCAATATGTTCAAATAAGATTTAACAAAAAGAAAAAGAAAAATCAAATAAAAATTACTGACGATAGGAACCATCAGTGGATGTGTAATACCACAACTAAGCATACCACCTAATCCACAATAAATAAAATATTTTGTTGATCCATATTCACAACAATATTCAGCTAAAAATCATTGTTAGATAACAAAAAAAATAAAATATGAAATAAAAACTAACATTTTTTTCCAGTTGCATGATCAGAAGATAGATGATTGGACATAGATTATCGTGTATTTGATTTATTTTTATCGATAAGTAATAGTATGTTGATACCTTCTTTTTCTTCTTCTTAATATCATGTGCAAATCGACTTTTTATTTTTCTATTCTCGTCAAAAAAAACGCGAAAGAAAAAGAAAAAACATTGCATGTAAATGTACTTTATACTATCGGATATTTTTTTCTTCCTAAGTTTCGTTGATACATATAATCAAGGATGACTATTGCTTACTCATACAAATATTTTTCGTTCTACATCGATATTCAACGCATATAATCGTGCTTACAAATTATTAACAAACTTGTTCATCGAACTCTACTCGTTGTACAAAGGTAAATCAGTTCATTGATTCATATCAATTGGATTCCTAGTGGCAAATATTGTACTTGCATTCAACACAATATTGAGAGTTGTCGATAAGAACGAGTTTCGTATACTGAGTGTTTCTCATCATACATTATCATTTTTAATTATCTTCAAAAAATTCGAAGTCTGTTCGAATAGTAAATTAGTCTATCAATACAATATTTAATCAAATAAAAGAAGAAAAGAAAAATAATTTCATTTTTCTTCTTATATGTCAAATTTCATGTTTTATATTAATACATTGACTATTCGATTGTTGTGAGATAAAGACTTATTTGCTCCTCAACAAGATTCTTGTAATTTAACGAATAATATTATCAGTTATGTTAGATTATAAAAAATATAATGTATACGAAAAATTGTTTATTTAAAATATATTTCTTAATATGAAATTGTATACAATTGAACATTGACTCATGTTCGATAATTCTATATACATATGAATATATTGAGTGAATTTAATTATTTATTTGTTAACTATAATCAACTAACGTCTGAAATAATTAATAAGAAAAAAAAGGAGAGTAGAACATATTTGTGATATTGTTAAAGGAAAGATTTGTATATTGATAAAAGAAATGTAAAATGAAACAATGAAATATTGATTATATAAGTTTGAATAAAAAAAAGGTCATTAATTGATCTAATCAAATCAAATAAAATTTGTTCCGATATTGAACAAGAAGGAGAAATGAATGTTCTATGTCGAAATAAATTTATTTTAATTAAATTAAATATGATATTGTAGAAAAGAAACAAATAGATATTGAAATAAAAGCATATCAAACATCAAACATCAAATATATTTTTTTTTTGTCTTTTCAGTATTTTTTTTTTTTGTTGTTTGTTAATGAACAATAAAAAGAGGTCACCCGTCAAGGTTCAGTGCACATTCTTTAACTATGTTATTTTATTAAAATGATAAATCTACTAGAATAAATATTCAAATAGAAGCAAAAGATGAAAAAACGAAATGTTATGAAAAAAAAAGAAAAAGAAAAAAAAAAGGAAAAGGGAAAAAAAGAAAAAAGAAGATGAGAGTGTTCTAAAATTGCATCGGTGGCATATATCCATAATTTGCTGGAGACATTTGAGGCCAAGCAGCTTGTTGATATTCATTTAATGGTTGTTGAAAAGCTGGTCGATTATTAGCTAATGCTAATCCATTGCTCCAAGCTGATGCTAAATTCATTGCACCTATTTGACCACCATTAAATGGATTTGTTGCATATGCATTTGGTGTTGCAAATTTACTTAAATCAAATGGTTGAATTGGATATCGAACTTGTGGTAAAACATTTGGTGTCATTAAATTTGGTGGAAGTACATTTGGACCCATTCCACCAACAATAGGTTGATTAAATACACTTGGTGCTTGATAATATCCACCTGCACCTGCACCTCCATTTCCACCACCATTTGTATGTCCAATACGCATTAATGGTGGTTGTGACATAGCTCGTGCAGCTGGTTCACCTTGATGAGAACGATGTTTTGATGAACGACGACGTGTAGAATTTTGAGGAACATTATAATGACGTTCATATTTACTTACTTTTTCAACTTTTTCATTTTTACCACTATTAAATAAACCCATAACTGTATAGATTTCTACACTACTTGCTGTACTAGGTGACGAAGATTTATTATCAGCGGCCAGTCTTTCTTATGATCACACTATCAAACCAAACAAACTCACAAACTTAAATGAATATTATTTCTCTCTTTCTCTTCTTTTTTTTTTTTTTTGTTCAGTCACGGTCTAATGCACTAGAACATTTCTTTCTCTCTCTTCTCTTCTTTCTTTTTTTGGGTATTCGCCAATTTTCTGTATGTACAATCTCATCTATCATTATTCTACATGTTCAAACTGAACACGATGCAATGACGATTCAACCGTGACAATGAATATGTATATATATCTTACGTCAATCATTTTCTTCATATTGATTAGTCAAGCAAATAAATAAATGAGAAAGAGAGAAAGACCAAAGACCATGTCTATTATAACCATACAAATAGAGAAGAAAAACCTATACGTTTTTTTTTTCTTTTATCAATTTTCAATGACAATTCAAAATCAATGTTCATCGTCTCTTTCTCTTTTTCTTCGAAATTAATTACAATTACATTTTCAAAATCAGCTTAAAAATATCATTGACAAATATTCAACAAGTCTTTTTTTTCTCTTCATTAATTTATCATAAAGACAAGTTCATTATACAAAAATATTTTCGACAATCATTTTCTTCTATATGATCTAAATATATATTAAATCTTACTTTTTTTTTAATTAAAAGAGAGAGTAAATTATTCTCTCCAGAAAATGAAATGTTCAATGTGACATAATATATCTATATATGTTCTTTGTCTCTTTTTTGTTGAGTAAAATATTATTCTTTTTATGTTTGTTCTTTTGATGTGACAACTCATTCATTATTGCAAGTATAGTTATTATTTATTGTAATTATCCAACCGTTGTCACACTAATTGAGTACAAATTCTTGTTATTGTCTACATCTACAACAAATAATCTCATCATTTGTTTTATCTTACTCATAAATTCTATAGATAATAATGGATTTTATATTGGACAAAGTCAAACATTAACATCTCGAAAATATTTCTCAATCTAAATAATATTTTATTTATTTGATAGAATTCAACAATGAATACCAAATAGAAAATGAAAGTTTGTCAGATTTACAAAACTACTAAAACATTCATCAGAATAGAATAAGAAAATATTTCTATAAAGTATATTATAAAATTTTAGATAAAAATATTTTATGTTGACATCATATACAACTAGTGAAATGATTATATATGACTGAGAAATCGGGTTGAACCTTCAAAATATGAGACGATAAAAAAGAAAATAAGAATTTTAACCAAAAACAAAACTAATAGGTTCATTTACAGCACGTTTTGTCTTATTTATTTGGTTTGAAATTATTCTGTAATGAAATAAATTTATTCAGATAATCGATCAAAAGAAAAATAATTTTAGAAAAAAATATTTATGTTTTATTAACAAAACTAAAATTTAAACAGTAAAATCTTATTAAAAATCTAAATTAAAAAAGGAATAATTAATTTTCTATGAATTGTCAATTATTTGTTTTAGAAAAATATCTCATAAATCATATTAAGATTTCTTTATAGAAAACACATTCAGTCTAAGAATTTTTTCATTTGATATGATGAATTTATTCTATACTTTTTGAACTTCATATAATAGTTAGATGAAGAAAGATTTTGTTAGATTTATTAATAATGATTAAGAAAAAGACGGATGAGATCTCAAATATGATATGTGTTGATATTGAATAATCACCATTTAATTGAGTAAATGATCTGGAAAGAAAAACTTCGTTTAATAGCTATCGAGTTTTTATTTGAAGATTTTATTTATTTATTTTAATATTATTTTATCTGATTAGTTCTTATTATCTTCAATATTTATCTTGACCTTTATTCAAATCTTCATTTTGATCAAAAGAAAAAAATTTGAAAAAAAAAGATTTTTTTCTGGATAATAAATATTGTATCACATGAAATTTTTCTTCTTTCAAATATATTTATATATCATCGTGGACAAAAATAGTTTTATAAAGTATTTTCAATAAATTAATACTTTTGAAAAATTTATATTTTTGATTTCTGTGCGATTTATCAATTTTGTTTTTCGATATAAAAACAATGTATTAGAAAAATATCTACATAATATAAAAGTACATCAAAGTTTCTATCATTTTATACTCTCCCAATGATTATTAGATGATATGTGATTGATGTATACATGTATAAGATTTTGAAAAATTGTATTCCACGCTTGTTCAAGTAATCTTTATAAATGCAGTTGAAAGCGCGGTTAATCTCTTCGCACATACCGATTCATTCATAACCATACACTCTCGACTGTATTTCGATTCGGACTAATTGGCGGATAGGTATTCATGCATCTAATACAATTATTATTGAAAAAACAAAATTGAAAAACCGTACAGAAATGAAAAATATAAATTTTTTAAAATCTTAACATGAGGGTGCCTTCATTGTAAGTGAATTTATTTTCTACGAAAAAGTACAATCCGAAAGGTTTCTATATAGTTTTGTAGAGAACCCTTCAGACTATCCAAATTTATCCATACTTTTTCAAAACTATTAATTTATTGAAAATACTTTATAAAATTATTTTTCTCTAAGGGGAATGGATAAAAATTGGAATAAATCTCTATTACTCTTGAATCTATACTTATAATAATAAAAATTATAATTGTTTCTTTAATTAATTTACAATCGTAAGAACACCAGCTAATATTTTTATTCACTTCGAACAAAGATTTGTTTTGTTACAACTTTCAAATCTGAATTTTCTAGATTTTCATCAATAAAAAGTCTAAGTATTTACAAGCACAGAAACTCAATAGTTTAATATCATTGAAGCCAGCAAAAAAGTATTATTTCATCAATAATTTCCGATGCGATATACTGTTCAGTTCTATATAGACGTGGACTATGCTTCCAAAGATCACGCATTTTTGAATGTTGCTCATTTCCGCCTTTGAGACCACCATGACAAATGAAAAAATTCAATTTTGAAAGACCATTTATAAGGATATGTAATCAAGGGGGTAATAGCTGGCACCCAGCACTCAGCATCTGCTCAGCAACTTTTCAGCACCTCGGCATCTATTTAGGAGCTGTTCAGCACCTCAGCGAAGGAGGTAAGAGCTGGTAACGAACATCGAACAGGTGCTGAGGTATTGAACGGGTGCTGCGGTGTTGTGCAGGTGTTGAATAGGTGCTCAAGTGCTGAAAAGGTGCTGCGGTGCTAATATGCTGAGTGCCATCTCTTGCCCCCTTGCACTGACGACGATAGTAATTCCAACGATCATAACCTTGGACTATTAACTTTCACCTTCACTCATATTGTCAATAAAATTGTTCAGTATGATGTTGCTAGTGCAATTTTCTATTATACTGATATGAATCATGATGAAATAATTGATCAATTAGAATTAGAATTTTCTCTGCGTTCAGTTTAATTTAGAATTTTTACTTTTATCGATATATATGGTTATCGAGTTTTCTATTTCCTAACTCATTTATTGCTGGAATAAAATAAATAATAACATTATTTACATTATTGTTAGCGATGGATTATAATCAAAAACAATTTATCGAATACTCTTTATCCTTTTTTTTATTTTCTCTTTCTATGAATAAAATGATTGTACAATTTACACAGGATTTTAACAAATATGATTATTGTTTTACGTGCCTATTTGTAGTTCTTTTTCCCTCGACTGAAAGGAGGGTGATACGAAAAAAACGAAAATGCGTTTGTGGGTCTGTCGCAGGTCAAAGGTCAAAAACGCATCGAAAAATAATTTTTGAAGATAGAGACTTCTAGAGGTATTTCGATGCGTCGAGCTCGAAACTGAGGTAGATTGGGCGACCGTGGGGTAGGGGGTGGGTGAGAGATCAAAGGAACGTTGGTGTCGACAAAACACTTTCAATCGGAAAACCTTTCAAAACCAGAATCGTAAGTGTTCGGAAGCGGGTGATCCGATAACACCATTGGTTTCTCGATATGCTTCCCTCGCCCACTATATGGGAAACTATACATAGCGAGTGCCTATTCTTAAATGATCATGTAGCAACAATAGATGAGTGACGCATAGAGTGAAAAGCATTTAGGATCATCGATTAGCAGCGGTGAGTCGGGAGTGGCGGATCGAAGGGACGCCGACGACCGACGAGCCGCTGCGGATAGAACACTGTTCTGGGCGTGCTCGTGTGTGAACTAGAACAAGTTTTGTTGGATTCATTGAGTCACCCGGCACAATACTGAAAATTGAGAAACATTTCAGCAAACTATGGTATAAGGAGTCAAAAGAGTGCATCTCCATGATTTGGTTTTGGAAGTACACTAGTCGCAATCAGTCGACGGTCTAGCGAGTCGCTCCGACACGCGTTATCTTGTATACATTACTATAAACAAGGGTGTGGGTGTGGGTGTAATTTGTCGGATTAGCGCGAAAAACAGAGGAAGATTGAGGAAAAAACCGATTTGTCGGATTTGTATGGATTATGTGAGGTGTTTTCTATCGTTTCTAATTGAACACGTTGCCGGAAACAGTATGCCATTGGTTTTCCTTCTCATTCCGTTCGGAACTGACCGGAACGACCGTCCTGGGATATATTAAATTAATGATTAAATTTAAAGTAATTTGAACTCTATCTATTGAATACCATTTAATACAAAAATTCTATAAGAATAAAATCAATCGACAGAATTAATATTAGTAGCTACATCGATTGATTTAAATTGAATTAAAGAAATCATTTTATCGATCGAATATATATAATATCACTTTTTCTGCTTTTCTATTTGTAGTCAGATCAAATGAATGGATAAAACTTGGAATAAATTCTTTCGTTCTTCTTTTCTTTCAAGTTTTAATTCATATTTTGATAAATAGTTCTGTAAAAATACTTTTGAAATAGCTTGATAATATGCAATATCAATATCAAATTGACTGATGAATAAATGAATATCATCAATATTCTTATAAAATTTTTATCGATCTGATAATTTTAATTCACTATAATCTTACTTCAGTACTACTATTACACTTCACTCACAATCAAGATCGCTACTTATCGAAGTGGATCGTATTATTGATACAATACAAATAATTTTTTTAATAAAAATTGAGCAGAGATTTTTTTTATTGTCTATATAAATCTGGAAATTCTCAACATTTGTTTCATGTTACGAATAAATTATATACATGAAAATGTATTTTCTCTTCATGAACAAAATTCAATATAAAGATTTAGAAAAAATTTCTTAATTTAAATGATATTTTATATTATTTAATAGAATTTATTGATGAATATCAAATAGAAAATTGTCGTATCAAAAATATTAAATGTATTCTATTTTGACGTCATATAGAATCTGTAAAATGATCATATACGAATGATGAATCGTGCTTAACCTTCGCGAAACATGAGAGAATAAAAAGAAAAGGATGATTTGAAGCAAAACTAATACTTTCATTTCTATCACGTTCAAAATATGTCATCTGCCTTTGGGAACATTAATATATAAAAAGGTTCGTTGATTAGACAAAATCTATTAAGCAAGTTTTGCCAATAGCTAACAAATATGGAACCATAAGATATTCATCATAGTTTTCTATTAGATTAGATTGTTTAAATATTAATAAATGATCTTTATCTATTATTTCTATAAGAAATTCATTTCTGACGAATAGTAATTTGATTAATAAGGAAGAGATTTTATTAAAATAAATTGAAATAATATGATGTATTAATCTGTATTGGATAATGAGAAATGTGAGATGTTGATATTGGATAAGCAGTATATTTCTAATTGAGTAAATGAATGATCTAGAGAAAAAGTTCTTTTAATGGCTTGCAGATTTTTTTTTATTTCTTTAAATATAATTTTTATCTGATTTGTTGTATTTATCTTGAATATTTATCTTGACCTTCATTCAAATCTTTATTTTGATCAAAAGAAATTTAAAAAAGATTTTTTTTCAGGATAACAAATATCATCAGATTTTTAATAATTGAAATAGATATTCATAGATCTATTTATTTTATCTAACAAATTATATGCTAATTGATTAATAGAATTGTCGTTTTATTTCTATTGAATAAAAAAAGAATCTTTTTGTTTGTCTTTTGAAATTTAGTTTTGAATAAATAAAAGTTAGTAAAAAGCTAAGCCTAATGAAATCTATTTGTGCTAATTGATAATCTAATGGTTAAAGAAAAAAGATGTTATATATTAGTATATAAAAGGAACGTACTGTTTGTTATATTGACAGATGCGGAAGTTAAATTCCGGTTTCCGTTTCCGTCTTTGCTTGTTTTTTTGAAACGAGGAACTCTATTCAATAAATGTTTCTATCCTATTATCGATCGTCAAATAGATTCTCACATACAAAACTATCGTCGGCAACACCGAATAATATTCTTAAACTATTCTTTGTACAAAATTCTATATTTAGATAAAAAACAAATGTTAGTTATTTTACGAAAAAATATTTTTATTAATAAAAAAACTTCTATTCGTTTTATTTTATTTCGAATAAAAAAAAAAAGAACCGGAGAAAAACTGAAAATCTAATAAAGAAAATAAAAGAAAATAAAATTTGAATTTGAATTTATTCTTTATTACACATGTCCAAAGGTGTGGACGGAGATTTTTTAATTTGATGTTGATGTTGATGTTGATGTTGATTTGAATCGGGTGCTGTTAAAAAAACTCGAGGAAATTGTTTCATTTTTTTATCTTCAATCGTTGATTTTCTTCTATCTGTTGTACTTAAACGATTAATAATAAAAGATTTTTTAAATTCTTCATGTAAATGTGATAATGATGATTTAAAATCACTTCTTTTATGTAAATTTGATATTGTTGATGATGAATCACTATCACATGATGAATCACTTGATGGTTGAGGAGTTGCACGATCAATCATATTTTTTAATACAGCTGCATCACGTTTTAAATCATGTCGAGTTGATATTATTGAAGGATTTTTTCCTAATTTATTTAATCTTTCAGCAGCAACTGATTCCATTGTACGTCTCATTAATGGATAAGATTCTAATACTAATTCAAATTGAAAAGAATCTAATGAATATAAATTACAATAGGTTACACAACGAACACTAGCTACACGTTTAGCTCGTGTTAATAAACAAATTTCTACAAAAATATATTCATAGATATAGAGAAAGAAAGAAATTTCATTTTCAAACCTCCAAAATAAGATCCATCTGATAATGTTGTTAATACTTGTCCATCTGATTTAATAATATCAACAACACCTTCTTGAATAAAATACATTTTATTTCCAATTGTACCTTCAATTATGATTTGATCTCCAGGTTGAAATACTTCAAAATGTAATTTTGTAACAACATCAGATACAAAATTTGGATCAGCATTGGCAAAAAATGGGACTGATGATACAAGAGAACGGCAATTATAATTAATAACATCCTTTTAATTAAAATAAATGATTTTGTTTTTCATTTAAAAAAAAAAGATGAAAATAACAAACCAATCTTAATCTTTCGGAAAGTTCAACTAAAATTGTATCTTCATGAAAGATTTTTCCTTGATAACGATGTTCATAATAATCAGTTATTCTATTACGCATTTCTCTCGGTAATTTTCTCCATGCCATATATTCTTCAACTTGTTTAAACTAAAATTTCATTTTTTAGAAAGAAAATAAACAAATTAAAAAGTAACCTTTTCATTATATAATCTTCTTGATGTATCAAAACTTTGAACAAGTGCTGAAACATGTCCAATTGTAACAGCATAACACATTGCACCAATAACTAAATTTATTCAAAATAAAAAGAGAGAAAGAAAAAAAGAAAGAAAGAAATGTTACCCATAGAAAGCATAGTTAACCACATATCAACATAACTTTGTGGTGGATATCTTCCATAACCAATACATAACATATGTGATAAAGCTTTAAATAATGCAACTGTATATTGTTCTGTCCATGGAGCATTTTGAAGACCATTAAGTGCAACCCAACAATCAGATGGAAAATTTTGAAACATTGGAATCATAAATTGTAAACAACCATTCCAATGTGCTAATAAGATAATTAATGCTAATAAATTTAATATACGCATAACCATACTTGCTATTGATAAAAACTATTAAAGAAATCAAAATATTTACTCATTCGAAAAGAAAAGAAAAGAGAAGAGAAGAGAAGAGAAGAAGACAAACCTCTTCCCATTGATGAATATATCTGACAAGACGTGATAATCGAAGTAATCTTAATAATGAAAGTAATTTAACAAGTCTTAAAACTTTAATAGCTCGTCCAGTTCTTGCAATTGTATAACCACCAGTATTATCTCCACTATCAAGAAATAAAAATAAATAATCAACTGGTAATGAACTTAATAAATCAATCATAAACCAAGTTTTAATATAATGCATTGCTATTAAACGTGGTTCAAGAATAATTTCATCAATATAATCATTTCTTAAAACACCTGTTCGAAAATTAACAACAATATCAAAAAGAAAAAAAGCATCGGAAATAACATTAAAAATAATCCATCGAGCTGAATTGATTTCTTCACTAAAAAAAGCTATAGCAACTGGTAATACAATAACATTTGTTATTAATAATATTAACATGATTAAATCCCAATAAAAACTAAAAAAGAAAGAAAGAAATGATTTAGAAAAAGAAGAGAAGGGACTAACCGAAAATTTGAACATGGATGAATAATACAATGACCAGATCTTTGTTGTCTTAAACGTTCTTTAAGAAGACCTTTTTTACTTCCAAATAATTTCATAGCCAATTTATTATCACTTGGTTTTAATAGATCCATAAAATAATTAACAATTGTTGATGTACCTTTTAAAGATGTATCAAAACTAATTCTTTGTTCATTAAAAACATTTATATGATCAGGTGAACAGATTTGATCGTCATGTAAAGAATTAATTTTATCAAAATTTTCATTTAAATTTGTTTGTGGTTGAATTGTAACTGTTATTGGTGGATTTGTTGGTAATGTAAATTCACCTTGAACATTTGAATTATTTTTTGAATGTTGACGACGACGATTATTTAAACCAGATGATATTGTTGTTGGTAAACTTAATTTTATACGAGTTGTTGATTCTTCATTTGAACATTTAAAATTTGTATTCGACGAATTTTCTTTTATTATATTAATTGATTGTTCACTCAAACTTTTTTCTAAAGAAAATAATTTCAATGAAAAAAAAATGTTTTTTTTTTCTTTTTCTTACTCTTATTTGATTTTATTCAATTTTCTATTTAAATTTCTTATTTTCAATCACTTTCATATTATTATTATTATTTATCAGTTAGATAGAAATCTCTTTAATTAATATAATAATAGATGTTTGGAAAAAAAAAGAACTTGAGAAAATCTTTCTTTCTTCTTTTTTCTTTTCTGAATATTGAAATATTTGTTTTATTTTTAGAAAAGAAAAGAAAAACTTCTTCTAACCTGTTCCATAATTAATATCGTTTCCATTTGAATGTGTTGGAATTTGAATGTTTTTATTATCATTAGTCTTTTTTAACATTTTTCTTTATTTGATCATTGAATTAACAGTTGGAATTTTTCAAAATGAAAAAATTAATTTATAATTTGTTTATTTAAAATATGTTTTGTTTCTTTATACAAAATTTATTGATTGAGTAGATGATATATTCGATGATGAGTTTGTCTAAAAAAGAGTTGTTACATTCCCAAGTGTGTCATTCGTATGTTTCTCTTTCTCTCTCTCCTGTTCCTTGTATAAAATGATGTTGGATAGAGTGTCGATAGTTTCCGATGAATAAATGTGTGTGTGCATGTCTTTCTTCGACACATTCTCTCTCTCTCCCTGTCTCTGTGTCTCTCTATGTGTGTGTCTATTGGTTTCTATATATCATAATTGATGTGAGTGAGTCTTCGGGCTAAAATATGCTTCTGCTTTTTTCTGTGGATATTTTTCTGATGAATAAAGATGAGGTAGTATAGATCAATTTTATCGATGTATAGAACTATATAAATATATGTATCTATGTCTTAAGAAAAAGAAAACTAAGAAAATGATTTGATTAACAATGTAAGGATAAGCAACAGCTGACTTCCGGCACTTGTTTGTCACGCATATATAGAAAATGTAAAGACATATGTCATTTATATGAATGTGTTATGTGAACATGAAATATGAGAAAGAGCTAAATATCAATTGCCTTGTCTTAGCTTTTCTTTTTTAATCGAAAATGTCATCTTTAGACATTCCATTGAGATTTTTTAGTCGAGCGCAAACAAAAATGACATACTAATTGAATATTTCGGCTCATATGAACATGAAGCAGCCAACCAAACTAAACTCACTCATTCTTATAGTTTTGTCTGTTATGATCATCTACCCTTTTTTTCATTATAAATAACAACGAGAAATAAAATTCTCGTTACATTTTTCTCGATAATCAACATCAAAATCATCATCAAAGTGGTTTCTTGTCATTTCCGCTTTAATTGTATTTTCAATGACGACAATGATGATGATGATCTTCATCGTCATCATAGCGACAGAATACCAATTCTAATCGGAAGGGAAAACCAGAAGGCGAACAATTAAAAAAACCGTCAGTCATTACTCAGTTGAATGCCGCAACAAGATCAGACACCTTCTCTTTTTTTTTCTTCTTAACATTCTTTTTTCTTTTTCATATTTTCAAAGAAAAAGAAAAAGAAGAAAAAAAAACTCTAATATAATGAATTAGAGGTGATGACATAAATAAGAAGAAAAAAATATGTTTTGGGTGTATCTCTAATAAAATGATATAGATGATAGATAGAGATACACACTTCTATCAAGATTAATATCTAAAGGGCATTAGATCTAATGATAACCTTAAAATAAGTCAAGCAAGATGTATTATTTACTTATTAATAATAAAATATGCCTGTTTTTTTCTTTTTCTCATGTTTACCTGTTGAAAAGTAAAATCAAATCCTATCTTTGTTTCTTTTTAACGTAATCAAAACGATTCTCGATCGTTTTTACGCGTTTTCCGATTGCTGATGAAGAAAGAAACATAAGACACAACAAAAAGAAAAAAGAAGAAGAAGAAAACTAAGAAGAAGAATAAGAAGAAGAATAAGAAGGAGAAAAAAAAGAAGAAAAAAAAAGGAAAAAGCGACGAATATATTTTTTGGTTCCGTGACATTGTCAAATGAGATTGTATGATGAATATTTTTTCATGATGAAATCTGTGCAAATTGGTTAATGCTTTGTGACACTACCGGAACTAAATCTTATCGTGAGAAAAAAAGAAAGAAAGAAAAGTTTTAGATTTCTCTTTTTTTATTCATAATCAATTGTTTTTATCTAATAAAACACAAATCAATTGCTTGTTTATTTAAAAAAAACACAAAAAAATGAACAATGAATTATTAACTAAGCACAAGTATAAACTTCTTTTCCAACAGATTCTCTACAACCACTTGCGTCAGATTTATAAACAGTTTTTGAACCTGATATCGTTTTACCACAACCTTTACAAAAACAAATAAGAAAATTATTTTGAAAAAAGAAAATTCTATTAATATAAAAACCTGTTTTAGCATAATTTCTAACCATATCTTGACAAGCTTGTTCACAATTAGCCATTGCTGCATGATTACATGAACAAAAAGTACAACTTGAAATTCTCCATGTATGAAATGGAAAATGAACTGTATCAGAAACAGCTTTACAATTACATCTAATTAACAAGATTTATTTTGATTAAAAAGAAAACGAAAGAAAAAATTGATTTTGATTTATTAAAATAACAAATCTTACGTGCGTCTTAATCCACCAAGAAAACCTTCTGTTTCGAAAATAAGTCCCCCAACAATGATTAATAATAATGACAACTTATACATCTTAGCACGTTCTTATTATTTTATTCAATCTATTCTCTCTCTCTATATATATATCAGTATACCAATATATACCAGTATACATATATACATATAGAGATAAAGGAGAAAGAAGAGAAAGAGAAAAAGAGAGATATTCTTATCGATTGTACCATTGAGACATGACAAGTAGTTGATCACAAGATAAGATTAAAGATTTATTTGAAGAATATGTCTAAACAAATCTTCTATTTATTGTTTCTATTGATTATTATCACACAAGTTTCCACTTTTTTCAAAAATACAAAAGGTTAGACAATTTGATTTGTTTGAAATAAAATCTTTTCGTTTTCAAATAGAAGTACCACCACCACCTTCATCAGATGTTAATGAAAAAGGAGTATGGAAAAGTAAAGATGTTTTTACTTGTGTTCGTCGTTTACGATCAATTATAATTAAACCATCAAAATATGATCTTTCACAACAAATGATGGAATGTTTAAAAAATCCAAAAAAATTTAAATTAACACAAAAAACTTGAACATTAAATATCAACTTCTTCTCAACTAATCATATACACATGAAATTAATTTAGAATCTAGTTATACCACTTCTTTTTCTATTTGCTCTATTATTAATCCTCATAATTAACTTAAACAATAAATTGACTTCTTTTTCTTAATTATATTATCTATGTCTTTATTCTACATTTAATAAAATCTCAACATAAATAAGAATATTAGAAAAGTAAAAAAAGAATAAATGAATGAATGAATGAATTTAACGGATAAAAAGAAATCTTTTCAAAATTATCTCGTTAATTATTGATAAAGAAACATTATCTTAACTCATTTACTCTTTTATTCTTCAAATTGAGTTTATTTTTAGAAAAAACCTTTTTTTTGTAAAACTCGCTATCTAAACTTATTTTAATTCTACTTATTATTTATATAGCATTCATAGAAATATATATCAAGGTCAATAAATTTTCTTTAAAAACTAGGTGAGTTGAAAAAGACTGGATTATTTAATAAAAATAATCTTCTAGATAAACATATATCTTTAGGATTGTTATCAAAGAATAAAATGAATAATGTATCTATTCTAATCGATTGTAAAGTCATTTAAATAGTTGATAATCATATTGCTTTTCTTTCTCTTCATATTCAATCTAAATGCGAAGATAAGAATGTTTGTCTTTGCTAAAAATATTTGAAATGTTGATAAATTGAATGAATTAATATTAATTCTATAAATGTTTATTGAAGTATTTTCTCAGTTAATATTCTTTAATTAATACATAAATAAGATTGTCTATTGATTATTTATTTAATTTCTCTTTTAATAATACTGAAATGTCTATTGAAGAAATAATAAAAAAAAAGAATTGTTTTTGACTAATTGACAATGAATGACATCTTTATAAAAAAAATTCTATTCAATTTATTTATTTATTTTCAAATAAAAAAAGGTCTTGAAAAAGAAATTAAAAAAAATGTTATATTTAATTAAATTCATTTGTTTTGATTTGAATAGATTTCGTTTTTGAAGAAGATTTTGTTGTTACTCCAACAGATTTTGAACGTCTTTTAGTTTGATGATTTAATTTTTTCAAATTGAGATGAATTAATTTTTCATTAAAATATTTTGATGTTTTTAATAAATCATTATTTGTTCTTGATCTTTGAAAATTATCACATTTTAATATTGACACTTTTTTTTCATTGATTAAAATTTTCTCTTCTTGAGTTTGATCAAAATTGGTATAATGATGAGATTTTTGTTTAATAGATGGAAAAGAAGATTTTCTTTCTAAATCATTATAAATACAAAAAAATCCATTTAAACTTTTTAATGGAAAGATTTCGTGATTATGATGAATTTTTTCAAAACATTCAATTGAGATTACTTGAAATAGAAAATAGAAAATTGATTTGATTTAAAAAAGAGAAAAAAGAAAAATCTTACAAATCGCTTCTTGAACAACAGCTGGAATAACTTGCAGAAGTGTATTTGTATTTGTTGATAATGATGGATTAACATTGATTTCAATTAACCAAACTTTCATATTTTCATCAATCATAAAATCACATCCATATAAACCAAAACAACCAATACGTTCTTTTAATCTCATTCGAATACTTTCAATTACATTTAACATTATACGACAAATGAGTTTCTACAATTCAAAACAAAACTCACAAATAGATTCATCAAAAAATATTCACATGATTATTTCTTCTATAGAAACAAATCTTTGTTCAATAAACTAATCTTGATTTTGTCTAATACGATTAAATCTTTCTAGAAATTATTTTTATTCGAAACAAAAAGAGGAAAATGTTATTAAATAGAAATTATCTCTTTAAGAATTTGAAATAATCTTCTTAAGAAAATAGAATTAATAGTAATAAATTCTTTTCATTGTATTGATCAATGAAAAGTAAAAAAGAGTTTTTGTTGATGACTATGAAGTCAAATTAAAGATGATGATTGAAGTAAAAGAAGAGAAATAGTCGGAAGTTTCTTCAATTTATTCCGGTCGATATGAATGAACTTCCTGAAGTATTCTTTTTGTTAACTATTCCATATTTTTTTGACATAAAGTATGACAATTAGAAAATGAGATATTTCGTCAACTTACAGGTAAAATATTTTTAATCCAATCGATTTGAATATTTGTTCGCGGTAAAATATATTCATTAACATAATCACTAAAAGAAATCATTAATTATTTATCGAAAGAGATCTATCTAACTTTAATTGTTCCATAGTCCATGCTGTTTCTTCTTTCATATCATTATATTTTGGATCTTTTTTTTGTACAAACTAAATATTCATTCGAAATAAAATCAAAATCTGTTGAATCTAACTAACTTGATTAGTAAGATGTGTAAGAAGATTTTCATCATCATTATCAAAATCAAACATTGATAATCTAATATAACCATGATGATAAAGAACAATAAGTGGTTTAACACTTGATATAAGCATATAACATCGAATATCAAATTTTTTTCCATGAACTAATAATGGATTCATTATATAACTAATTCAAGAAAAGCACAAATTCTTAATTAAGAAAAAGAAATAAGAAACAAACCGTTGAACAATTGTTTTGATTTGTTTTATTGAAAATGTTTTTGGTTTTTCAAATAAATCTTCTTGATTAAATTTTTCTTTTAATTGATTGATATCTTTAACTATATAAATACCTTTTCCTATAATATAAAATTATTCACAAAAAAATAAAACAAAAATATTTCTTCGTTATTTTAACCTTGATTAAGTCCACTTGGTTTACAAATCCAAATATCTCCAGCTGAATAAAAAAAAGTGAGGTGAATAATTAAAAATAAAAAATATTTTTGATGATATACGTACGTTTATGTAAATTAAAAAGAAGATGTCTATCATGAATTTCATCTAATTTAAATGTTTGAGGAATAAATTGATTTAATGTTAAATATGATTGTGGACGTTTAGTTAGTGAAAGATAATTTGTTTCATATGTTTGTAATGATTGATATAATTGTAATTTATTTGTAAAATAATCTTCACCTTGAATATGATTAATCATTTGTTCACCATCTTTAAAGATATTCCAATTGACATTTGAACTTGATTGAACCCATTTAAATTTAAAATCATCAATTTTATTTTCATTATTTTCATAACCAATTGATTTTAAAATATTTTCAATTCTTTTTTTATTAAATAAAACAAAAATTCATTTCAAATTTCATTTTCTTTTATTCTGAAAACTTACAAATGAGAATTATTTCCTGATCCAATATAACATACTGGTTTCGGTTCAGGATAAAGACTACTACGAGATTTTTTATTTGAATTTTTTCTTGCTTTGATTTCATTTGATATTAAATTTGATGAATTTTCTTCTAACATTTCAACTAAAATAAAAATAAAAATAAAAAAATATATTTTAGTTAAAAAAATGATTCTTTTTGAAATTTAAAATAATAAATAAATAAATAAGTAAATAAGAAAAAAACTCTTTCATTTCATTAACATCAACAAAATGTAAAGAACGAAAAAAAACTTGAAAGTATCCATTTTTGTTTTTTTTCCTTTACTTTTATTTAAAAACGTTTAGAAAAAATGTCGACAATTGCCGATGAATAATCTTACTCGACATTTCTTTTTTCTTTTGTTCAATTATAATAAAACTACTACATATATATATATATATATATATTGATGTCAATAACAACCCGATCTTTTTTTTTTTCTTCTTTCTTTTTATTAAATTTAATTTCATTTATTATTAATTATTTTACAAATCAATCAACTAACAAAGAAATTATCGAAAAAAAACAAAATAATATTTTATTTAGAAAAATTTCGTTTGAAATCGAAGAAGATTTTTTATTTCGAAAGTTAGTTTTATATATTTAAGAATAAATTAACATTATTTATATTCACATTTTTACCAATAAAAACCTCTTCATTCTTTTTCATTCTTAATGTCAAATTTTATTTTATTGAAAATAAAAATTTCTTCAAGTCTTTCATAAAGAAATTCTTTCACAATTTTATTTTTATTTTAATAAGAAAAGATTTAGATTTATTGACAATTATTTTTTGTTTTTCTCTAAAACTAAATTCCTATTCGATTAGATTCGAATACATCGAATGATTTTCAAGATATTGATTTTATTTATCAATAGTTTCAAACATTTTCTCATTTTCTCGTCAAATAGATCATCATGAATATTAGTCAACTGATTTCTCTTGATCAATCGGCGTAGAATTTATATTTGATAGAAATTAAGTTTGATTTATTTCAAAGATATTTTTAATAAGATTTACATGAAAAATAAGAAGAGTTGAACAATTTATCTTAATGTCACTCTCAATAATACTTGTTAACAATTCAATTAATATAATTCTTTATTTGATTAATTAAAAAGAAAACTAATCAAATGAAATTATTTCATTAATTTATTTCAAATAAAAAGAATTCTTTCTAAATTTACAAATACAAATAATAATCTCAGGACGATTTAAATAATTTTCTTTTATTCGAGATTTAAATTAGATTTCAATAAAACAATTTGATTTATTTCGATATTTTTTTTTATATAATAATGAAGATTTGAAAGTTGACAGATGCAACATAATATTGTTTTAACTTCTGTAATATGCGTTTGATTAGTCGTATAGAAAATCGAAGATATATTTAATTAAATAGCATTTGATGCTTTTGAAAATAATCCGTCAATGAACAAAATTATGGCCTTTAATAAGCTTATTATTTGAAAAAGATCATTTTGTACAATTATTTCCTATAAAATTAATTTCTATGAAATTAGTCTTTCTTTCATTTTCATAGTTGAATTTGTTGAGTTATTATTTATAGATCTATGACAGTACAATGAGTTGAAAGAACTGATCTCTGTTTATCCACTTATTTAAACTACATGAAACTCTGCCATAGGACTAGTTATTATCGTATATTTGCTTAAAAGGATATTCTCAATTTTTATTAAACAATAAAATTCTAAATGGTTGATATGAGTTATTATCAAGGTGCATCAAAGATTTCTCTTTATTTAAGAACTTTTTCAATTCTTCCATTCTTCTTTATTCATTTGTTCGTTATCTGATATTTGCAAGTTTTATTCTACATATGTTCTAGCTAATAATAAACTTTTTTTATTTTGATTTTCAGTTAGATCTATTAGGTAAAAGATGAATTTAGTATTTTCTATAAATTTTTTTTATTGAAAGAAACAAATACATAAAAACTAGTAAACAAAAAGAAAATGATTCTATTGATAGTTCGTTCGATAATGATATAAGAAATATTTAAGATGAATAGTATTAAGCATAGTTATTTGTTGAAGTTTTAATCATAGCCATATCGTCAATCCACATCCATCTGTTTCGAGAAGAATCTTATGTTGTTGATCTCGAATTAATATGGATATATGATTATATAAATTTAAAATTGACTTTTGATGAATATTGAATTGATCATTAGTATCATCGATGGGACCACTGTCTCTTCGAAAACAAAACACAAAATCAGTTAGTTTTAGTACTCTCTCTGCAATCAATTGACAATGTTCATCTTCAAGAATACTTTCAGAATTACGTATCGTTATGCGGAATGACTTTAACAACGGAAGAAATGAAAATATACGTACAAATTTCCAATTAATAGTTGTAAATGTTTGTGAAAAATTCAAAATAATATGAATAGAACGAAGATTTCGTGTATATATAAAGTCGGTTATTCTTTCAAGACAATCTATTACAATAATACGATCAGCTGGAATTGTTATAGGAATAGTTGTTTGAATGTCATGATAATAAGAAGATTGATTATTATGTTGAAGAATTTTCGAAGGAACAAAATAAAAGTGAGGTAATGGTGAAATATTAGCTTGTTCATTTAAAGTCAAAATATTGGGTGGAATAATTATATTAGATGATGAAGGTAATGTATATAGTTTTCTTTTATGATTATATTCATGTATAATTGGTATCTGAAATTTTTTTTCAAAAGACCATGGAAGAGTATACCACATCTAACGACGATCAAATTTATATCGAGATCACTAAAATAATAACAATGAAAATAATTTTCATCTTGAGGGTGTGGGTGTGTTGCAGGTATGTTTGAAGAAGACACACCCACATCCACACCCACCCACTCACACCAATAATTTATATTCACATTTTTACCAATAAGAATCTTTTGATTCTTTTTCATTCTTAATCTGAAATTTATTTTAATGAAAATAAAAATCTTTTGAAGTCTTTCGCTGAGGAATTTTCTAAAATTATATTTTTATTTTAACAATAAAAGATTAATAAATGTACATTTATCAACAATTATTTTGTTTTTCTCTAACACGAAATTCATATTCGATTAAATTGTAATATATAGAATGATTTTCATTAGAAATAATTTAATTCTTTAGTTTACGAAATCAAATTTGATATTGAAATAAAAATATGAAATGATTTATTGAAAAAATATTTTATTAAGAATTCTATTCAATCTTTTTTCTATTTAATTTATCAATAGTTTCAAATATTTTTTTTTATTTTCCCTTCGAATAAATCATCATGAATATTAGACAATTTACTTCTGTTAATTAATATGAAAAATATTTTTTTAATGATCAATCTTTGTAGAATTTTTATTTGATATAAATTAAGTTTGATAGTTGGAGATAAAGTTTGAAAATAATTTGATTTATTTCAAAGATATTCTTAATAAGATTTAGAAACAAATAAGAAGAGTTCAATAATTTATCTTAATGTTATTCTCAATAATACTTGTTAATAATAAATAATAACAATAAATGAAATCAAATTAATACAATTTTTTATTTCATTTATTAAAAAGAAAAATAATAATCTTCTAATAATTTAAATAAATTATCTTTTCCATAGAAATAGTTAATATATTATATGGAAATATATGTGTTGCATAAAGACATGAAGCAAGTCAAATCATTTTTGATTTAATCATATCAAGCCAAGTTTGACTTGACTTGACATGACTTGTGGCGTATCTTTAAATATCAAGTGAAGTCAAATACAAAAGTGTATGTCCTATAAAAATTTTCTACACTTCACTTTTGATTTCTAATTTGAGAATATAAGAGAAAAATCTAATAGAGAAGAATAATTATTTGTAGAGAGTATAGATGTATGTTGAAATGAAAAAAAAACGTTTTGGATTTATAAATAATTCAACAAAATAAAAGAATATATTTTTTGCTTCCAGTTATTGTGAAATGAAGTGAAGAATTTATTTTAAAAATAAATTTAAATATATAAAACAATCATTTTATAGATATTCGAACAATTTCAATTAAATTGCTATATAATCTTAGTTTATATTGATTATTTTTAGTATAAGAAAAAACAAAGTTTAAGTAAGTCTCTATGATTGATATCTAGCGAACATTTTTAAATTTCTTATTCGAATGTTGATTATGGACCGTTCTATAATGAATATTAGTAATATAAAAATAATTTGGTAGATTTCTTATTAGATGTAATCTCTTATATGATTCTATAAAAGTTGTAAAAGAAAAGAAATAATTTTTTAATATATTTGGAAAGGAATAAGAATTGAATGAATTTGACGATATTAAAGAATAAATTAATTTACAATAGTATTGTTATTCAATAAAAATAGTTTAAGAACAAATCCAAATAAATGAAAATGTTTATTTAAGACAAGCAATATATATATATATAGGGTGTATATTAGTTATTATTATTCTTGTTCTGATGGAGATTGTGGTGGTTTTGCTAACCATTGTTTCCCATGATTAATTGTTCCAATGACTGAAGAGAAAAGTGAATTTTTAGCTTGTCCAAGTACTTTTGTTGCAGCTCGAGATTTTTCTCCCATAAATTGTGATGTATCTTCAAATGCTCCTTTTAATTTTCTTCCAGTTTCAGTATCATCAAGAACACTTAAAACATAAATAGATATTAGAAATAAAATAAGTGTTTGTTAAAAAAAATCTCTTACTGAGAAACACGTAATTTAACATCTGTTACGTTAAGTTGTCCGGCTTGTGGATGTCTTTAGTTAATTTAAATTGAAAATGAAAGAATAAATAAATAAATAAAATAATAGAAAAACTAACCTTGGAATAATTTGATCAAAATGTGGATAAGGTCCTTTTAATTGCCATAAACGAAACGCTTCTGTCATTTGAAATGATTGAACAAATGTCGAATTAAAATCATTCATTGCTTCATCATCTATTTTACAAAATAAAAATCCTTTTTTTTTATTAAGAAAAAAAAATAAACAAACTAGGTGTTTGAGCAACAGCTAATAATGATAAGAAATAATTTAAAAATAATCGACGAATTTCTTCTTCACTTTTAATACCTTTACAATTATAAATATAGAAATTTAATTTAAAAGAAAAAGAAAGAAACGGACCATTATCTGAATCTTCAAATAATTGTGTAAATCTTAAATCAGCAGTTGTTAATTGAAGTTGAGTTTTTAATAATGTTGATTGAATTAGAAAATCTTCATCTTGATCATTAATAATAATATCAATATTATTTTGTTGACGAAATAATCCATTACTTGCACCAATAACATAAGAATTTACATTGGAATTATTTAATAAATCAAGATTATTTAATGATAAATATGGATGAAGAAGATTATTTTGATTAAATAATTGAATTGGAAAATGAAATTGATCTAAATGAGTTAAATCAACGGAATAATTTAATATAATATTTGATGTATTTGTTGTTGTTGTTGCTGTTGTTGGTGTTGTTGTTAAACGATTAAATGTATCTGTTAATTTACTTGTTATTGATGTTGCACGTTTAATAATATTTGTTTTTGTTGTATCTTGTTCTTGTTCTTGTTGAATATCATTTGATGTTGTTGAGATATCATCTTCATCAATTTTTATTGTCTTTAATTTAATATTATCAAAATCAATTTGTTGTTTTTCATCATTTCGATCAAAAACAATATCTTCATTTTCATGTAAATTTATTAATGTTTCAATATTAGATTTTTCTCCAATTAATGTACATTCATTTAAACCATTACAAATTAATTCTATTCAAACAGATTAAAATAAATAAAGAAAATATTAGAGAAAAAAAGAAGAATTTACAAACCTGGAATTAAAGAGACTAGAGTAAGAATTGTTTTGACTAAATTTTCAATAGGTGATAACATAAATAAAACTTTTTTTTGTAATAAAATAAGTTTAAAAAGAATAAGTGTTTTTCGTCGATATTGTTTAACGAGATCACGTGCAGAAAAATATTTTAAATCAAATTCTGGAGGATTTTTATTAATATTATCAACAAATTCTTGAAAAAGATCAGTTTTATTAAAATCTTTTCCTTCAAAATATTTTTCAGTTATTAATTCAAGTTCTTCACTAACATTTCCATAAAGTGGCTAAAATAACAAAACAAATAGAAAATAATTTCTTTGTTTTTCATTTACTTGACGTAAAATAAGACAAACACTTTTTTGAATTGAATTTCTTGTTACATCAGCATCTTTATTTATTAAACTCTAAAATAAAAGAAAAATAAAATAAAATAAGAAATAAGAAATAAGAATGTTTAATATTAACATGTGCATCAATTTGTCTATATGCTGCAATACCAAATAATGTTTGTTTTGTATTTGATGGAATATGAAAATAAATTAAATCTTTATCTCTATTATGTGCTCCATCTGGTAATGCTAATGATGCTATATTTGACCATTGATCATCATGAGGTTCACTTAATAATGGATAACTATATTCGATTTGATGACCTTTTTTATGATGAAATCCAACAACAAATAAATGAACAATTAATGTTGAAGAAAAAGAAGAAGAAGAAGAAGAAGAAGAAGAAGACTTTTCCTCTGAAAGCATATCTAAAATGAAATAAAACTTTTTAAAAATGTCAAACAAAACGAGATAATAAAAAAAAGAATTTAATAATAAATTTCAATATCATGAATAAGAAAATGTTGTTGTCCAGCTAATGCTTTGGATTTTAAACCAGTTGGATCTCGATAAGATGAAGATAATTTTGAATATGATTCTTCAATAATATTACTTTGAGAACAAATAAATAAATCAGCACCACGACCAAATGTTGGACCATAATTTGATGAATTCCATATGGCATATTTTGTATGTGGATCAATTAACGAATATTTTATTGATGAATTCGATGAAAATGAAAATAAAAATGCATTTTCATCAGATGAAAAATCCAAATAAATATCCTTGACGTGTACGAATAACAGTTATTGTTGGACCTTTATTATCACATAAACGATGAAAATCTTTCACATTAAAACCATCTCTTGTTGCTTTATATAATAAATTCCATTGTTCATTTAAACTTTTAACATTCCAATTTAATAATTTATTCCATTGATTACTATTTAATAATGATCCTTCTTTCTATTCAACATAAAAAATAAATATTTTCTTTTTTTTTTTAAATAAATAAAAATTACAGGATAATATAAATAATATTTCTTATTATCAATTGATTGTTTTGATTTGTGAATAATTAAATTAAATTTTGATCGACGTCGTAGAATATCATTTTTATTATATTTATATTGATTTTTAAATGAATATTCAACAAATAATGTTACACTATTAACTTGATCATTGATTGATTTAACAATATTAGAATTGAAACAATAATTATCATTTAATATTGAACCTGTTGAATTTAATAATATTTCATCTTTATTATCTTTTACTTTATTATACAAATTAGAAATATATGACATATTATTTTCATCATCATCATCATCATCATTGTTATTATATACTACAAAATCAAATATTGATTCATTTATTTTAATTAAAATTCAAACTTACATTGTTGATCAATATCAATACTCATTTGTTAAACAAATTATTTAAGATTTTAAATTCATCATCATCATTCATCAGTTTACCACATTTGTCATTTATTACATTTTATCAACCAATATTAATACTATTTATATAGATGTCACTCATTTATTTGGAAATAATAACAAATTGTTAAATCTTCCCATGTGCTACGAACCGCATAAAAACCGGCGGTTAACCGGCGGTATACCGATCGTAGAACTGGGGGGATATCCGCCGGTTAACCACCGGTTTTTAACGGTTATTGGCGGTTTTCCGCGGTTATTCGACGTTTATCCGACGGTTTCGTTTTTTTCTATAGAAGTATCCTTTACTTTATTCTACTAACAGATCTTTGATGATTTATTATCCAGCCATATTTTATTTTCATTTTACATAAAAAAATTACAAATGTGAAGTAATAAAACTTACAGGAACGTTAAATAACAATTATTTCATTACAGTTAATTGAATAGACATGTACGCGTACATACAAAAATAGAAGATATATAAACACGTTCAAGATCTACTACTGTAAGACACACTCAGAGACGACAGAGAAAACAAACAACATTAATAAACACTGAAGAAATTTTTTCAGTACCACACGATATACATAAAGGCGTACATAAAAGAGTACTAATAAAAAAAGAAAGAGTTATCTTGATAAACAGGATCTTTATTAATCCTATTAGAATGTTGAGATTCAGATAGATCATCATCAGAATTTGATAAAGAAGTATAAAGAAGAGCGGAGGCAGTTGCTCGCCTTCTTTGAGTACGGCGCTCTTGTTGAGTAAGAGTTTCATTCGAATAATGATTGTTAAAAGACATCTAAAATAAAATTAAAAAAAAATATCGAATATTAATCGTTTTATGTTCGAGTAATGATTGTTAGAAGATATCTAAACTAAAATAAAAAATAGCGAATATTAACACTTTTATACTATCTCGTAAAACAATAAATTCGTCGGTTTTTGATACTCGACATCAGCAAATCAAACGAGAAATTCTATTAAAATAATATTTGAAAAAAGTTGATTCTATCGATGGATTTCATACCTATCGCATATAAACTGATAATTTCAAAGTAATAGTTTAGAAAAAAGCTACGATCATAACGGTTGAAATAAAATTACAATATATCGTTTCGATCATCCCATAATCAGAAAAGGGAAACGAAACGAAAACTAACGGTTTATCATAACAAAGGATTGTACTATCTACCAATCAGAAAATTACTGCAGCGCCACCTAGCGGAATTTCTAAATGCTTCATTTTAGCGAATATTTCTATTTTTCATATATTTTGTGATGAGAAAAAATATACTCCTTTGTGTTAGACCTCATCTAATTACCCTAATTACTCTAATTAACATGTTAATCGATAAAACCGCATTATATTTTATATCCGCCGGCCAACCGCGGTATATCGCCGGTTTTAGCAAAACCGCCGGAAACCGGCGGTATCTACTAAAAAGTGACGACATGGGTTCTCTTCTCTTATGATTATTTTCTATGATTCTATCGAATAATATTCACATGGTGATGATTTCAAGTGAATTAATCAAATATAAAAAAGTGAGTGAGATGCATTGATGATAAGAGTTTTGAACTATTATTTACAGTATAGATCAATAGAATAAATAAAATAACAAACTAAAGAGTTGTTAAATTAGTTTTATGGTATGGAATAATGCCTGAGTTATTCGATTTTATTTTATTTTAAACATAAAAATTCATGTGATACAGATCACCGGACAAAAAAAAGAAAAAAGAAAAAAAAATTGTTATGTTAATAATGGAATAAACTAAAAAAGAATGTACTAAAAAATGTAATTTAAGAACATGAATATTTTTCACATAACGCACGTTCGTTAAATTTTCCTAAAGAATTTAATGTAAATATAATTACTGCACCAGTAAAAGCTCCAGCTTGTGTTAATAAACCATACCAAAAAAGACCTCGATGACCTGATGTTTCATTAAAATAATTTCCAAGAGCAATTCGTTCATAATAAAATATTAAATAAACAAGTACCCACATTACTGCCTGAAGAGAAAGAAAATATTATCCAACTGATTTTTTTTTATTATTCAAATTTGACTTACAACAATATATTTTCCCATTGCTTCATCAACAAAAGGTGAACATGGTGATCTCCATGCTTTTAAAATGAAAATGAAAATGAAAATAAAGATTCTGTTATTAATTTGAAATAATAAAATATGTACCTGTAATAAATATATAAGAAAAAGCTAGAGTACCAGATATTGTTGATAGAATAATTCCAATTTTTGATACTTGAAATAATTGTGGACGGAGTGTTGATATTAATGATACTAATGGATAACAACATTGACATAAAATAAGAACATAATGAAAAGTTGATGCACCATATGGATTAAGTGAATATGAATTAATCGATGGAATACATCCAATTAAAAGAATACTTGTCCATAAAATAATTAATAAATAGATTATTGTTTCCATTGAAAATCTTTCTTCATTATTATCATTTGGACTTTTAACAATAACATCATTATTATTCACAGTTAAAAGGGAATCTTGAGCATTTTCTCCTGCAATTATCTGTTCAGCTTGACTTTTTTTTTGATTTTTTTCTTGTGGTTGAGTTCTCCAAAGTAATAGAAATGCAATAAATGAGATACACATAATTATACTAAGACAAATTAAATAAACTTGAACAGAAAATCTTGCTGGAAAATGTTGTTCAATCATTATTGAATGATTTGTTGGTGATGGAATACATTTAGCTTCTTGACCAACACCCTAATTTCATTTCATTTTATTAAGTAGAATTAAGAAGAGAAAGAGAAAAAAGAAATTTTACTTGTAAAAGTCCAAGTATAGCTGGAATTAATGATGATAAAGATTCTCCAGCAAAATAAATATTTAACCATTTTTTATGAAATCGATTAACAAAAGGAAGATATGTAACTGATGATGTACAATTAACTAATGCAAGAAAAAATCCAAGTACTAATAAATATAATGAACGAGTTGTTCCAAGAAAAAAAACTTGTTTAAACCAAGTAAATGAAAGGATTATTGGAACTGTTATTCCAACAAGAAATATTACACATATTGATGGAACTTCATAAGCTGACGATTCACCACCAATTAAATGACGTATCAATGCGATTATTAATGGACCTACATTTGCTATATTACTTGCCATTCCTAATTGAGGAGATAAACCCCATCCTTCGGATAGTTCAGGAATTAATAATGGTAATTCAATCCATATCCCATTTAAATTAAGCCATGTTCCAATACCAAATAATCTATTTCAAAATTTGAATTTGATCAAATTTAAAAAGAAATAAAAGCAAACTTACATAAACAAAACATAACCAAAAATTTTCTTGGACTTGGACTTGGATTGTTTCTCTTCAGTTATAATAACAACTTGTTTTTTATTGTCTTCCATTTCTTTTCTTTTTTGCTTTTTTAATAAACAAAATGAATATAAAAACAAGAAGATAGAGAAATATTTGTTCTTTTTCGTTTTATATCATGTAGAATAAATAAAAAAATGTTCTTACAAACAGATCAAGGTCTTCACTCTTCAACGTGAAACAATGTTGGCATTAGAAAATATTCCTATTCCTATTGGCTATCTTAAAATATCCACTCAAATAATCACACACATGAATACAATACCGTTTAGTTTTAACGGTTTTTTTATTCTTCAAACCGCGTGAATATATCATAAACGTATCTTCGATAAGAAAACCATCTAACACATTCACTATTCAAATCTATACGAAACGAAACGAAAAAAACAAACGAAATTAATATATTTCATCATTATTGTTTTCGTATTTGAGACAAAAACAACAAGATTAACTTGATTATTATTTGATAAACAAAGTTATATTATCTAATTGATCAAAATAAATAGAGAATAATTATTATGAAATATATCTAGATGTCGTATAATAACATCAAATATTCAAGAATTTTATTCTATAAAGAAATAAATATCTTTCTAATATCTATTAAACTAGAATTAATAAAAAATAGAAGGAAATCTAATTAAGAAATTATTTCTATAAATATTCATTAAGATACGTCAAAATAATTAACAAGAAAATGTAATTATTGTTCATATGGAAATATATATTTTCATCAATATTCAAAATTCAGATTTTATGTCGAGAGAAATTACAATGAAAATCTAAGTCAAGTGAAATGACACATTATTCGTTAATTATTCAAAATATAAAATCAAAAAAGATTATCATACTCACATATTTCAAGTGCTCTCTTTCTCACCTGTATAAAACAAAAAATTTCTTTTTATTCACTCAAAATCTAAGTGCTACCAATTTGTTGAGTATATTATTATTATTTGAATTTGAATTCTATTGAAAAATGAAATCTCTCAGAGATTATTTGTCGTCATAAGTAATACTTAAAAAACATCTAATAGTTACAAAATAAACATATTTCGTTAAAATTTGTTCTAGATGTCGTGTGACAACATTACATAATTACAAAATTAGATCAAATTTTTCGAATTGATTAATAAGATTTATCTGTCAATTTAAAAATTTAAAAAGAAAATTAAATAAATAAATTATCCGAAGTAAAACTAGATTAATAATAATAAGAAGAAGAAGAAAAATATGTAATTATTATGTAAAAGATAAAATATCTATTGAAATGAAATAAATTTCTTATTGTTCAACATTAGATTTTATTTGAAATAAAAAAATAAATAAATAAAATAATTCTCTATTTAATTCATTGTTTATAATTGTCTAATTGGTATGAAATATTTGTATTGATCAATGAATAAAATAACCGATACGGTTCAATGATCACATTAGAAATAAGATTTATTCATCCATTTGACTTTTCGAATTTTGTCTCATTTAGATCAATAAAAGGGATTAGTTTCGTCTTCTTTTTTTGTTGTGAAAAGAAACTTTGATTTTCTAATAGTTTTTATTTGGAAATAATATGGGTGATGAAGAATGGAAACGATTGAATATAACAAAAGGTTATTTTTTTTCTAAATAAAAAATGTGTTGTATATAAAATAAATGTTTGTTTTGTTAGGTCGAACATCGTATAGTCAAGAACGTATTTGGCTTGATGAACCAATTCGTTCAACTTATACTGCAAAAGATGAAAATTTATATGATTATAATTATGTTAAAGTTTATCAAATAGAAGATGGATTTTTATCAATCAATCGTTTTCGTCAATCAATTGAAAATGTTATCAAACGAAATGAAATCTTTCAAACCGAATTAGATTATAGTTTAGATGAACATGGAATTGAACAAATAATAAAAAAATCAAATAAATTAAATGATTCATTTGAAATAACAAAAGTTGATGTATTTGATCAAGATAAAATTAATGAAATTATTTATTCGGAACAAATAACAAAACATTTTGATTTAAATAAAGGAGAAATTTTTCGTTGTCATTTATTAAAACAATCAAATAAAGATAAAAATCGTTTAATTAAAAATGATTTTATTTTATTAATATTTCATCATTCAGCCATTGATAATTATTCAAGATTTTTATTTTTAAAACAATTAACATCAGAATATCAAAATGAAAAAATCAATTTAGAAGAAAATGAAAATCAATTAAGATTTATTGATTATTCATATTATGAACGTCAATTAGATTTAACAAAATGTGAAGAATTTTGGCAAGAATTATTTTCTGATTATAGTTTTAAACAAAGAATAAATCTTCCATATGATAATAAATTAATTTTTATATCTTCTGGTTCAATTTATTCATTTCAAATTGATAAATCATTAACAAGACAAATCTTTCGTTATAAAAAAAAACAAAATATTAATTTTTTTCGTTTATTTTTATCAACATTTTATTGTTATTTATTTAAAATAACTCAAGATACAGATTTTAGTGTTCTTGGTGTAACACCAAATCGTTATAAATCTCAATTAACAAATATTATTGGACCATTTGAAAATTTTATTGTTTATCGACATAATCTTGATCCACATCAATCTTTTAATCAATTTATTCAAACTATTGATGAATTCTGTACGAATATAAAAGAAAATAGTTTTTATCCTTATCAAAATTTAATTGCATATGCAAGAAAATTTGGTTCAAATCAAACACCTTTTTCTCAAGTATCACTTCGTGTTGATATTATTGATGATCAATGGAATCTTGATCCGGAGAATAATCTTCTTTTAAATGAAATTAATTTAACAAATCATAGAGAATTTAAACGAGAAACAAAATTATGTCCTGTTGATTTAACTTTAAATGTAAAAATTAATTTAGAAAAACAAACAATTCAATTTTATTTTGAATATGCAAATAAATTATTTGAAGAGAAAACAATTGATACTTTTGCTGATAGATTTAAAAAAATACTTGAACATTTATTTGATATTCAATCGAATTTTGATTTAGATGAAGAACCCATTTATAAATTATCAATTATTTTACCATATGAAGAATCACTTATTAATGACTTAAAAGTTAATGATAGACCAGAATTAACATATCGTTAATTATTTATTTATTATTATACACATACATTCACTCACTAGTTAGTCATTAGCTATTTCAAACTTTATTATATTATGTCGCTTTTTTATTTCGATGAATATTTAGAAATAAATCATATTACATTTAGGTCAATAATAAAATAGATATTTCTAACTATACTAAAGCTCTCAGAACTACCACAGGGTGGATGTGGGTATTCTATTTCAGACATATTCTCAACAGATATATCAATAGTACAGATTTGTTTATTCATATATTTTAATCAATGACACAAGTAGTAATCGGAGTACATTAGGATCTATTCTGCAAATTCTAAGCTGTTTAGAGAGTATATTCAACTAGTTCACCATACACACACAATGGATATCTCATAGGGTGTGGGTATTTTTTTCAGTTATCATTGACACGCACACTCTCAAGATACTTCTTCTCTCTTTTTCTTTAGATATAACATTAGATGAAAGTAAATGTAGAAAAAAAGTAGAGTTATAGATAATGTTTTTGCCCATTCTACAATAAGGTCATTGGCTTGTTTTTTCGGTAATAAGAAACGTTTAAGAATTTCTTCTACTTCATCTTGAAAGATTTCCGAGAAAACTCATACAAAAACAGAGCTACGGGCACTGAAAGTAATTCAAAATGTGTCGTTCTTTGTCGGTAATTTACAAAAGTTATCAATATCCAATCTCATGAAATTTATCAAACTATATATTTAATGGGAAAAATACTTATATAAGATAGAAATAAAAGGAGTAAAATATATGCTTAAGGCAAGTAGTATTAACTTTGAAATCATAATTGAATCATTATCGTATGTACAATACGAAATACTGCCATCGTTTTCAATTATTGCTGATTAACACAAGTGGCATTTCGGTAATCTTCGGCATAGCCATTGTCAATGAATTGAAAAGAACTTGCACGCGCATCGTTGATCTTTTTACCCATATAGTAGACATCAGAAGCATCCTTAGAATAACCTTTATCAATTAATTGAAAAGCACTTGCACGTGCACCTTCTATTTTGTTTCGCATATAATAAACATCAGAAGCATCTTTGAAATATCCATCTTTCAACAATTCAAAAGAACTTGCTCGAACACCATCTAATCTTTTATCCATATAATAGACATCATAAGCATCTTTCCAGTAATTATCATTAACGAATTTCTTTGATGAACTCATACAATTTATCAATCAACAAAAATCAAGAAAATCGATGTAAATTCTAAAACTTTTTTGTCTGCAGTTTATACGTATTGATCAGTCTCTTATCATCTTTTTTGCATATCTGTGTTAGAAAAATTGAGTAAAATGTTAATGGTAAGGAACAACTAGGTCAATTTACTTGAATAAATAAGCTCTTTTGTAAAACAAAAAGAAAATGGATAAATGATAACACAAAACGAACGTTTACAAAAACTGAATCTTCTTATAAATTACATGGTTTTTATATATGGTGTCCGTTCAGCGAAAAAAAAAGAGTGAGATAAATAATGACAAAGATCTACAATTTCGAAAGAAAAGTCAGTAAATGTAGAAATTAGCGGGAAAAGATTTTGCTAATTATATTTTTGGCTGATTTCACGTTTCGCTGAACAGCTTTTCGCCACATGATCTTTTCGCTCAGTTTTTTTTTCGCTCATTTTTATTCGCTGAAAGTTTTCGCTATGAAGCCTTTCGTTGAATGCCACTGATGTCGTTGTTTTTCTAACGTTGATCTTCACATCACTTCGCATAGTTTGAGTTTGATTTATTTGATTTGGGCTTCGTCTATAGATTATGAGCTCTTTTACTGCATGACGAAAACGACTTGATGAAATTAAAAACATGTAGAAGCTGCCCTAAAAATAATTCAAGAAACTATATATTATGTAACATGACACAGAAGATACATACCATATAATAGAGATAAGTTATGAGACTAACGATGGTCGAGACAAAACTTTCTATCAATATTCGATTAGCATCTTTAGTCATTCCAGTTGTGATTAAACCATAAGCATTGTTAATACCATATGGAATGATACTAATAATAACAAGAACTACTTGAATCAAAGTCATCTTTGCCAATTGACGATCAGCACGTAGCTCAGCAAGTGCAATTGTTAGACGGATATTACGATATGTCAGAAATCCAAATCCGATCATTACTACGACTGGAATAACACAAAGAACGAGGAGCAGGTATACCGATACATAAATGGCATAGATGGCATCAGTGCGTACACATGTATTACTGATTGGTGAAATATTCTGGTATAAAATCCAAGGAATTCCTTGAAGATACCAGACAACCATGGCAACCAATACAATCCGATAGGCTAATTCTATTTTACTATACCGACGAAGATGAGCACTTTGCGATGTAGCTAGAAATTGATCGATTGTAGCCAAACATGAACAAGTAAATGAAATCACACTAATAGTGCTAAGAAAAAAAGATCGTGCTCTGCACCAAGCTAATGAAGTACGAGTTAAATCAAATCCAGAACCTACACTAACAATACGAAAAGTAAGATTAATTGCTAGATAAAGAAGGTTGTGAATTGAACCAACAAGAAAATAGAATGTAGAAGGAGTGTTGCGATAGGTACGCACACTTGAAAATATGAAAATGTTTATGCCATTACCGAGTATACCTGCAATAAGAATAGCAGAACCAACATAAATTGTTAATTGTGTGCCGACGTATGATAATGACATCACGATTCTTTTAATTCTAAACAGCGTTCAATAATCTATAAGGAATTATTTTTCATTTCAAATTATGAAAATATAGGAGTAAAAACGATGTGAGATGTTTTTAGTGAGACTTAGTTTTTCTATCACAAAAGATACGACTTTCTAATGTAGAAATACTGTTATAAAAGCCATTTTTACAGAAAAAAACTATTAGTTAAAACAGACTGATAGATGAGTTATTTTAGAATAGAGAAAAAACGAAGCCATCGCTAATTGTTCACTTTGATTATTTTCTAATTATTGCATGGTCTATTGCGTATTTAAAATCACTATTGCTGCAAAATCGAAATTTGTACTTATTTGTCTATACAGCTTAATCTTCTCAATGAACATATTCTTCTAACTGACACTTCAATAAAAAATAGTTGGCAAGTATTTTCTCACTTCTGTTTCGACAGATGCTATCTGTAAAGAAAATGTCTTCATTAAATATTTTAATGAAGAAAACTTCTGCAATTGATACGTGCTGGTAGAAAAAGACTTCTTTTTCTTTAACGAATTGCGTATGAACTATTTTTATCAGATATTCATTAAAAATTGACGCGAGATGAAACGAGCTAGAAACTTCATTTTTTTAATTAGAAAGGACATGAAGGACACAAAAAGTATATTTAACAAACTGAATATAGTCCATAATGGTAAAAACAAGATCTAGACGAATAGTAAAAGACGAAGTCGATGTTTCTATGGATTTCAAAGTGGACAAAGATAAGAATTGATCCAATTCGTTGTTCTTTTGACAAGAATATGTGCAAATATTTGCGCATCGATCTAAATTAGCATGCCATGCATAATCAATAGCACACAGTACAGCGGCTGACGAAAGAGAATATCTGAATGCAGAACAAGTTTGAAATCGCAGACGATCTTGTTTTAACAGTGAACAGTTGAACTAACCGATAGGAAAATTATACTCGCCTATGCAGAAATGCTCTACCCATATAAAATCACATATATACATATATCTAGCACTTACTGTTCTTGCATGTATATTTCAAGTCAAGCGGAAATTTTTTTTTTGAAAGAGAAAAGTGTCAACAACACAAAGTAATGAAAAGAAAGAATATAAACATATATCTACGATTCACTTATTCTTGCACGTTCATTTCAATTGATCCATATCTGCTTGTGAAGTTAGAAATGACTGAAGCAGATCTTTTTCTGAATAATTCATTTCTTGTGACGTAAGCACGTAGGTGAAATTTGCACTCGATTTGAGTACTATATGCAGCAATTCGCCCAGAAACTTGTTTCAGAGTTCGTCTTGTTGTTTTAAAATACAATTCAACGGCCTGTATCCAATGGAATAATTAGATTTTTTATAACGTAAACCATATTCTCAAAAATACTAGTCGTTTCACAATAGAAAAGATGACACGACTGAAGCGAAATATAACACCAAATTCGTCTCCTATAGAAAAAAATGATAAAATAAAATAGCTGTAAACACACTCTTGAAAACATGGAACGCATTCTTGTGAGACTATTAGAAAACTGGAAAATGGGAATTTCTGGCGTGTTCAGAAATTGCCAAGAATACCATATTGATTCTTTGTGAGAATAGGGGTGTCACTTTAACTTTGCTTTAACAGTTAAAGTTAAAGTTAGAACTTTAACTTTAACTGTTAAAGTTAAAGTGTTGTACTTTAACTTTAAGTCTTAAAGTTAAAGTTCTAACTTTAACTTTAAGCACTTTAACTAATAAAGTTAAAGTTAACGTGCCACCCATAATGTTTCCCTTATTCATTTTTGACCGTTATCAGATTACTTTAAAATACTTTAACTTTAAATAAAGTTAAAGTGGAAAGTGTTTTTACTTTAACTTTAACTGTTAAAGTAAAAGTGTTGTACTTTAACTTTAACAGTTAAAGTTAAAGTTCTAACTTTAAACTTTAAGCACTTTAACTAATAAAGTTAAAGTTAAAGTGACACCCCTATGTGAGAATGAAGAGTTGACCTTTAATTCATTCAGTTCCCTGCATTCCAATACATTCAAAAATTAGAATCATATACTCACCATAAAATATTTTTTTTGCATGTGCACACTCAAAATTTCCTTTCTTCTTCATACAATATGGATGTACGAGTGACAAACATTATGGCTAATACATCATCTATCTTGAGGGTGTGGATGTAAATAAGAAACAAGCAAACCCACACCCTCTAGTTACCTTGTAAGAACGGCAAAGAAAACATCTAGTAAACAGTGTCGTATGCACATTAGCAAACGTGATTGAGGACTTAGCAGATGAAAATTTTGTTTTTATTGCATTCTTTCTATTCAGTTGTTTTTAGTAAGTAATCTCATATAATCATTTCAAAAGGATGAAAATGCGTTTATGAATTTATAAATATAGAGCGACAGCATGATTCTTGAGGGTGTGGATGTCGGTGTGGTTGAGTGTGTGAAGAATAGATATTCACATCCACTCCTACCCATATCCACATCCTGACCTTCGAAGTGAAACTAAAAACAGTGATAGAGCAAACGAGTTGTGTCTTTTTTTTGTAAAGTTAAACATTATCAAATGGATCATTTTACTAAGGTGCTTTGTTAAAGCGTTCTTCAAATAATCGAAGCTTTGTGCGAACTGGAGTTAGTGATTGAGATGCCAGTCTCAGTGATTTGTTATTACAAAATTGAGCAGTTTGTCTATCACCGATATTCTCGAAGACTTGACCAAGCTGACCGTAAACTCTGGCCGAATCAAGTTTGTTCGGATGAAGATTGTTGCATAAGATTCTTAGTGTCTTTTTATAAAATAGAAGTGCTTTGTGATGTTCGCTCCTATTTAGATGTATTTCCGCCATAGTCCCGTAAATGCGACTCAGAGCATCTTCGTATTGGATGCTCGATTCGTTCAGATGATTGAGAGCCAGCTGACAGTAGTTCAGTGCACTTTCATAGTGCTCGACTGTTGCTGAGTGTTTTTTCATTTTCGTATACACTTTGCTAATGTTACTTTCACAAAGAGCTGAATCGAGATAATTTCCAGAAAAATATGCACGATGAATGCTCAGCTCTGCTTCAAAGAATTTCAATGCTTCTGTATAGTTTTCCATGACATAATAGATCTTCGCAATATCTCTATATGTAAACAACAATTGTATCACATTTAGAGAAGTCTTTGATTGATTGTAGATGTTCAGAATCATTTGGTAGTATGAAAGGGCTTCAACATATTTTTCCGTATCCCTTTGAACTTCAGCGATATTAGTATAAATCATGATCAGCTGTGAATAGTCAACAGGTGTCACTTCTTTATAAATATCCAGTGCCATATGAAAGAACTCTAGTGTCATGTTGTAGTCTTCTAACTGTCGATATACTGAACCAAGATCATTATAAATCGTAGCAACATCAATATCATTGACATTCGTTGAAGTTTGACATGTTTTCAATGCTTTATGATAGAAGAGAATAGCTTTCTTGTGTTCTCTTCGCTTTTTTTTTATCCATGCCATCAGCTGATAACCATGAACAAGATTATCAGCATCGTTCCTTACGGAATTATCACTGGGTAGATCAAGCACCTCTTCTGCTTTATCAAAGTGTTTTAATTCAACCAGCAAACGAACGAGTTGGTCCCATCCAGTCGAATCTTGGGTCATTTGTCGAATGTATGTCGTCAGTAGTTGTAGATCTTCGTCATCATCATTGGCTAAGGTGAGTTCTACTTGCCATAGTTGATCTTCCAGTTGTTTCATCTGTCCAATTCGAAACATCGCTCCCATTGTGAATAAGCATTCATCTTTCGATTCACTCCAAGAACTCTTATCATCCAACGATACGAATGATGTTGAAGTGTGAGTATTGGGAAGAATGTCGAGTCGAAAAAGAATGCTTATGAGACTCGGATTATGATCGCGAAACGAATCAGCACAAGACATGGCGATTTCTTTATCAGCAGTGGCTGAGAGAAAAGTATGAAAGGAGAGAAGACCACCTTGTATAAGACGTAGTTGTTCAAAATGTGCATGTGATAGACCTTGCCCTCGATACAATATTATTGATTGATGAGAAGGAGGTTTGTATATTGTTCGTATTTGCCGATCAAGATCTTGAAGAAAGAATGACATTTTGACAATAGTGGGTATGTCTTGTGATTGAAATGCTCGATTAATGATTTGCGAAAGAAAACCATCTTTTATATACCACCAGATGGGTGTATGCTGATGATAAGTATGTTCGAATTCATTGAGTTCATCACCATCAATATGAAGTTTGCGATGACAAAACTGAATAAAAATTTTTTTCGGCGTGTTCTCCTCATATTTAGTTTGGCGAAGAATATCTTTGATCAATTGTGTACACATCAACCATGAATCTACTTCTTTGGTTGAATTTCGATGATATTGCTGAATCTTAATCCAAACCTTACTGCTAATATTATCTGAATAAGTATAAAAACCTTGTATTTTTGGCCAATCTTTGATCCATTTGTCATTTTCTGGTATATTGTTATAAACGATAAAAATCGAGTGTACATGAGACATATGATGGATATGAGGTATAGCCGAGTGTGCGAGTTCTTCCGATATAATCAGAAAAAAAGTGTCTTTGGTTTCCGTACGAAGAAAATCAACACATGTATGCCAACTAGTAAAACTATCGATGGCATCTACCATGAAGTAGCACCGATGAGACCGAAACTCGATCGAATCTAACCAAATGAGCCGAACGTTATGCAAGCAGCGACGATGTGGATCGATTGAGGGATGTTCTTGCTCGAAAAGTGAGTTTTCGAGCCTAGAAAGGATCATTCTATCTGATAGATCTTCAGCATTTGGATCACAGGACGCCCCAGGGTATGCGTAGGATGCAGTGACCGAGTTTCTCTGGATCCTATTCAATAAGCTTTTCGAAATCTTTGGATTTGTTTTCTTTTTGTCCATTTCACTAGTTGTTTGTGATGAAATGGTGTTGTGGATATTGGTTGATGTAAATTTTGCTTGATTCACTGTGAGTGCACATGGTATTTCGATATTTGTGTTGGATTGTTTAGAAACTGATGTTGTTCTTTTGCTCTTCATAGTCGCTACTTTATTGAGCGTCTTTCAAACAGACAATGACAATTAATCTAGATGATGAAAAGAGAAATGACATAAAAAATGAAGTAATATTGTAACGACCATGAAAATAATATATTTGTTGTTATGCGTTTTTGCATTGCTATTACACGAGCTGACGACCATTTTCTTTTTCTTCCTGTCGAAGTATTTGTTTTTGTCACACGCTCGTATGACGTCGTGATGTGTAAGTTGGAATTCTCCATATTCATCTAATACATCATTGTATTGAGTGTTTTTGATGACATCATTATGTATTCTTCGATTTATTTGCGTTTGGATTTTTCCTGTGCCATTGTTGTTTCATTTTTGTTTCTGCTTATTGCATGTACATTTCTTTTTGAAGAGATTTTAAATCGTACAGCGAGTGTATGGTGTGGAAGTGGGTGTGGGTGTGACTGAAGAAAAGAGATTCATACTCATACTGTCAGTTAATAATAAAAACACGGTAGCAGTATGGGTTTGAGTATTATTGTCCAATAAATAGGTTATGATTAGAATTCATTAAAAAACTGCAGTTCAATGTGATTATCATAGTTTATATTGTTCATAGATTTTGTTGGTATCTAAACAGCGTGACGGTGTGGGTGTAGGTTTCTTTTCTTCATCTACACCCTCACCCAAGATCATATATATAAAGTGAAAACGGCAAACGAATAAATACGAAATTTTCAAAATAGTGAATGACTATGAATATGCTTGGTTACCTTAATGCAACGACAATAGAAAAAAACAACAAAATAAACGAAAGAAATGAAAAGCATGAGCAAAAGAGTAGACAAAGAATTCTTTACGAAGCAACTGAACTGGCTGCCGCTTATTTGGCAGTATACATCTGTTTGGCTTGATCAGCTGGAAGAACAACAATTGCTTCTTTTACCAACAATACGCTTACCGTCTTGAAGATGGGTGTGAGTGCGGGTAATATAAATAAAATGCACCCAAGCCCACACCCACATCCACACCCGATATAAGCTAGTAATATGTTAACTATTGTTAAACTTAATGAATATTACACACTTCAACTGAGAGGCGACGAATCAATTCAAGTCATCCTCTAAAACTAAAAAAGTAAATAGGCTTGTAGCTTACACATATTTGTCCTGTTGCAACAATATCTTAATAGGTGTATTTACATGTTGTTTGCTCTTCAAGGCGAAGTTACTCGTTTTTTTGGCCACATGGTTGATGATAAGAATACGAAACGTAGCGGTTATAAGAAGAAACACTTTTATCGGCTTCTCTTATTTATTAAACATCGTATCATGAGTATGTTGCTTAACAAAGAACAACTTTTGCATATTACTCTTCTATTAACACTATCAAGCAATCTCTGTACTGTTATTGGTACTGTCACAAGCCATTGGTTTGTATCGGTGAATCCAATCAGTGATGAAGAGGAAACTATAGGAACTTTCTGTAGAAATTCTAATATTACTTCGACGTGTCTGCCTACTTCGACAGACATTCTTTGTATCCTTGTGATCGTACTTTTGTTTCTTGTTAACGTCGTAGGCATCCTACTGATCAAGCCTATTATCAGAATGGAAATCGTTCGTCTTGGTTTGATTAGTATGATTTTGGCTGCATCGATAATGCTATTGGCGATTATTCCAGCAAAGCAGGAGTTTTATGGATATTCATTTCAATTAATGATGGCTGCAAGTGCCTTGACTCAACTAGACATACTGCTTGCTGGAGTTCAACTAGGTAGAATTCTTCAAACGGAACCAATCGAAATGATGAATATTTGTACTGAACTCACAATATCATCTATAACGCGTGGTTTGGCAGTATTAGTCGCTATTTTCACCATTGTTGGCATGTCAACAACTCATTGGGTTGGAGAGAACACGGGTGAAGGGTGGATAGGTGCTGGTACATTTTGCAGACAATCAAGTAGCATAGCAGATCCATGTCGCATCCCGATATCAACCACTATATTAAGTATAATAGCAGCTATCGTATCACTCTTTGTCCTTGTACTTGTCGTTTGCAGTATATTTACTGCGATTCGACGTCAAGTTGAATGTTATATCCTTCCTACGATTTTGTTTCCTTTATCGATTTTATTGTGGTTTACGATTGTAACAACAATGCATTTAGAAACGACCGGTTATTCGTATAGAGTAATCATTGCAGCCGGTCCATTGGCTCAGTTAGCACTGTTCATTGGTGGAATTTGGCTTAGCATATCGAATGAACTACCTGACATTATCAGCAGCCGCTTTTAAAAAACAAAGATAAGCAATATATTTTTC